ATTATTTTATTAAATGATTGGGGTTTCTGCAGTAATAAACTGCCATAGCAACAATCTTGAGCTACAGTTGGATACCAGTTTTCTGACATTTTGATTGAACATATAAAGTTGAGGGGCTTTAACAAACATATTTGGTAACTGCAAACTTAACACTCAAATTGCTTGTTGCCAAACTATGTGCTGAATATTTTGTATTCTAAAGCAACCAAAAAGAAAAAAGTCCGATTAACTTAGTGTTTTGCTTCATACCAGTGACTCTGAGATGACTGTTTATTCTTTTGGCTGTAAATTGGATTGCAATGTGTTGCCTAGTGCAGGAATAAATCTTGATTCTTCTCAAGAGACAAATGAGACTTGTTCACAACAACTTGGAAGCTACTGGGTACTTCAGAATAAAGGGCTCTTCCCCATTAGTTAGCGGTAACAAGACAAGGACACACACTTTATTATCCCTAAAAAACATGTTTTTTAGTCTGAGTTTCAGTCATTTCACAGCTTGTTCCTTGCCAGAAACATAAGTCAATCCATTAAAACTTAATCAGCAGATCTACCAAGAACATTTGAAATCACAGTGTTTTGTCAAGTACATATTATTCTCCTTATAGTTTATGTAATTTTAGAGTTCTTCCTAAAACAATTAATGATTCCATATTTTATGAGGTTTTGAATATTTATATTATAGTGAATATAAGTCCATATATTCTCCTATTTTGGGGAGTATGGGAGTCCTGGAAATTGACCACAGCTTAGGAGTCTTTCAACTCTGGAATTAAGGCGTTGGCTTTCTTGTACTGTCTCTCAGGTGTGGCTGACTGCCCCCACTGAACTCACTTTCACATGGCCCCTTCTCCTCCCAGGCGTCTGTAAGATCACAGCTTCATATTTATATGAAATATTATTGGCCTGATGCTCTCAATGGGTTCAGTGACAAGTTTCTCTTCTCTGCCAATTAAAAGAAGCAACAGTGAAAAGTTTTGGAGAATCCTGGCCCAGACATCATCCCATACCAGGAACATCAGGAACCCTATGTAGTTCTTAATTTCATTAACAAGGGAAATGAAAATACTCACTAACAGAAGCTCAAGGACAACAAAGACCCTCAAAGGGAGGCTTGAGGACAATTAATATTATCAACCTTTATTCAACTTAAGATTTATCCTTCATTACAAAATAAGCTCAATTTATATACAAAGTAACTTTCAAACCCCATAAGTTAATTATAACATTTTATTTTATATAAAAATTTAACTGTAGTAGTATCAAGGAAAGTTAAATCCAATAAAGGTATAGATTAAGGAACTTCTTTTAAAATTGCACAGAAAAAAAATCAGAAAATTTCTATTTTGTTTATAAAGCTATTCAAACACAGGGAAACTCAATTCCGTGGGAGGAAAACAAATAATATAAAGAAATAAGATCTCAGATGACAGCTTTCCAATACAACAAAGACATATAAAATAAATAAAACAAGTCTAAAATACTTGACTTTAGTCTGTGTACTGTTCGGTAAGTTTCTGCGGTGACTCTGAAAATGTCGGAAGGAAATCTGTCCTGAATTCATAACTCAAGGCATCCACAGCAGCAGTGGTAGATGCCTTAGCAGGAATCCCAAAATTCTTTTCTTAGGTTTGCAAATACTGTCTTTATCTAGGCTGGCCATGTATGTTGTACTGCTATTTCCTGTTTAGCTGGAGTGGCCACCTCCTTAAAATTAGCATCCAGGCTGTCATTTGATGAAGTATATAATGCTAATACAATTGCTTCCGTTTGTGTTTTGTCAAACCCATGAGTTCAAGTTTAGAACCAACGTATGAGTATCATAAATTAACTTTTTTTTTTTTTTCTAGATAGGGTTTCTCTGTGGCTTTGGAGCCTGTCCTGGCTTGGCTTTGAACTCACAGAGATCAGCCTGTCTCTGTGTTCTGAGTGCTGGGATTAAAGGCATGTGTCACCACCGCCTGAAGTATTTCCCTTTTTTCTTCTAAAAGAGTTTTGTTTCATAGACTTCTTTCATTGTGATGGTCAGGAAATATCCTTACAGGACAATGGGGAAATGCTGGTGGTGAAGAATTAACTCTTAAAAGAACACAGGAGTGATATTAGATTAGTTAGCAAAGATACAGGGTCAGGATTAAGGGTTCTGGGGAAAAGCCTTCACACCAATGCTAGGTTAATTGGAAGGACCACCACAATGGTGTCATACTAGGTGAATTCTCTCTAAAGTTGCTCCAAGATTCTAAGGAAACTTGTTCCGAGGCATGCTCTACTAGCAACACTTCTACCGAGATGCATCTCTCCATGCTGAGAGCTCTTTCAAGTCTCTATGTGATAACCACAGTGCATTACAACAGTCCCTGTCCTAAGTCCTTGTCCACGGCACCCAGAACAAGGGTTATGGCGCACTTGCCAAATCTTCCAGAGTGGTCTGGATCCCCAGATGTCAAACAGCAGGGACTGTTGTCCACGAGTTTTTCAACATCACGGTTAGGTATATGGTAGACAGCATGAAATGTCAGAGAACTCACAGACCTACTGTCCTACGGCTCTGATCTCTACTTGCTTTACCTATGGCTATGGCTAAGTCTGTGTCCTCATTAAATACACTTCAGGGTTCTTCCAGGAACCATAGCAACAGAAATAGGAAGAAAATGCCCGGTGTTAGCCTGAAAGAAAAAGCCATTCGATGTTTAAAACCATTTTATTTCTCCCTTAGGTAGTAGTTTTTTTCTGGATTTTATAAATGAGCATACTAGGACCTGACTTTCTTTTGTAAAACATATTAAAAAATATATTTCTTTTTTGGTACTCGAATAAGTTTTAGTTCCTTCACAGGCCCTCTTTATCTTTTCCTACCTGTTGTGAACCTCATTTCTTTCTCTGCCCACCTTTTCCCTTCTCTTTTTCTGCCCAATAATGATTCATGGGCAATTCAAAAGATTTTTTTCACTCTCTTCTAATGCCTTTCACATTTATTTGGGATTTGATATATAAAAACGACAAATGTACTTTAACACTTTAAAACATAATTTGTCAAATCAAAGTTCTGCCAGAAAAAAACAAGGGATTTTCAACATCATCAGAAATAATTTTATTGTTATCTAGTTTTAAAGCAATTCAATGAAACTGGTGGCAACATGGCGCATAGACAATAAAAACCAAAACAATTGATGGGCTAAGAGCACAATTACTCCATGTTTCATCTTCATGTGCAAGTGTAATTTTTTTTAAAAAAGGTAACAGTTTGTTGAAAGACTTTAATAAGCATCATTTATTCTTTAAATAACTGGAAAGTCTATAAACTATCATTGTTATAGCAAGCAGTATTAATTCTGTCAAGTATTAAATTTGGACTAGTACTCATAATCAAAAAATAATTACTTTAAATTTTATGAAATAAAAGTTGTAGTTTTATAGGAAATATAATCATATCCTAGCTTAAAATCCCAGTCTTAGCAACTGTCATAATGCAAAAATACTAAACTTCAGAGATCATTGGGAAATAGAAGGCTTTTAAAATCTGCCGTTTATCCCTAAAAGAACTGTAGTGGAATAAAAAAATGTCAATCTAAAGAAATATCGTACTTGACTACTGATACCTAAATGTGAAATAAGTCAGCATATTCAATGTTTTATAGATCTCATATATTAATTCAATTCTGCTTTCAATTTTATTATCATGTGGTGTTTTCCAAATGTATCTCACATTTATAACATACACACAGATTTGCATACAATCATGACTTTTTAAGGCATGCTCTCAATTTGGAGTAACTTGCTCTAACCAAATTTCTCCGAAGACTAGAGATTATCTCCATATTTTGAGGGAATTCTTCATGTTTTTCTTATTCTAAGTTATAGTAATTCTAAGTACTGGTAATAAGAAAAATAAGAAAAATTCTGTATTCTCTAGTCAAATTTCAAATGGCTAGGAGATCTTATTTCACATTTTATATTTCCATTTTTCTGTATAATTATTGGCTTGTATGTTAGGCTTGATTTAAACATTTTTTCTATGATCTGTTTCATTATGATAAGAAAGGAGAAAATATTCCATTTATTACATGGACTATTTTAAGTTGCAAGTGTCTAGTTCATGACTAAATAAAAATTAGAATTTTTATTATTGAAATATACCAACATATCTCTCATGGAACACTTTATTACAGATTTGGCAAACTGTGTATGTATTCATTCTCATGTTTTGTTGTATTTGTCAAGAGAAACATAGGGAATAAAAACAAAAATGTTAGTTATATTAAATTTATGTCAAATTCTGAAAAGTTCATATTTAATTTAAATTACAATAAATATCTATGCTAATGATATTTCCTTACACTGTTAAAGTATAGATATGCTTGATTATTTTATATTAAATCAGATTTTAAATGTGAGTATTTAATATCAAAGATATTTGGAGAATGCTCAAGGTTTTAAAGTATCCCTGTGGTCCATAAAATGTATAAATACTCTTCTTTTAACTTTGATCCATTTTCCTAGTCAAATTTGTTATATAGCTAAACAGAAAATATTAAAGTCAACAGTGATGGAAGCCATCACTGCTCATCTGATATATACAAGTCATATTTCAATTTTCACATTCATGTTAGCTGAAAAGATATGTATTGTTTTCTCTATGTTAGATTTTTTTTTTAGGCAAACAAAAATATTTTCTCTTAGGTAAACGTTTCTTGGCATAAAGTGTGTATTAGATACGAAGTTACCAAAAAAGCCCAGGTGATTAATACTTTTTTGTGTTTTAGTTTCTTCTGAATAATTAAACATGCTATGGATATCTCAGATTCTAAAATGAACACAAAAATATATGGAAAGACAGACAGAAAGACTCTAGAGATCTATTATGAAGAAAACTGTTATTTCTAGACAGAAGTCAACCACAGAAGTTAATGGTTAATCTCTAGATAGAGATAAGCATATAGTCTTAATGGGCTCAATTTTAGAAACAGCAAATTTAAGTAATATAATGACATACATATTTATAAGGAGAAAACCAGACTTCAGTGCCCTTGTGATTCACTGTCTATAGGTGGATTTCTTTATTTTCATAAGTCTTAGTAATGTTTTAAAATAGAATGCATATAATTCTGATTATTCATAAACAGTTAAATATCAGATTTTAACTTCTGTCTTTTATATTCATTTTTAGAATCCCCTACTGATGAAATTTAAATACTAATCAGGGAAATGTCAATAAATACCACATTAAGTTTCAAAACTATCTGTATTTCTAAGAGAATAGATTTTGTTTTTAAATAGAAGACAGGTGAGAAATTGAATACATTCCAGTCAGTTCCTTAGGACCATCTACAACATTTTAGTGATCTCAAGCAAGATCCCTGTAGGGAAAATAAGGTCTCTCATTTCTTTTCATTAGAGTTGAGTTTCCTCCCGAGAATCTTGAACAGCGGCATTGCAGATGCTGTTTTTCCTACTTGGTTTACTGTTTGGAAGGTAGGACAGTGGATCTGGTCGGATCAAGTATCTACCAAAGGAAAGCAAAGTGAGAAGCTGTATTAATCAATCAAGGCAAACTTAATTCAAAGTGTCAGTAGGAATGTTCACTTACTATATATTCTGTGTGTAAGTTATCTGAACTGTTACTTCATTATAGCTGACAGAGATACTCACTGTAATTAGCCTGATATGATTAGGTGATAAATGCTAATGAATGAAGTATTATTACTCTTTTATGATGCTTCAGTTGGCCAAGGCTCCATAATTTATTTATCCTTTATACTTTCTACTCATAAACAGTGGCTACTTTCTATTAATCGCTACATCATAGCTGATGGGAGATGTCATTCTGTAAATATGTTTCTCATATTGGTTAATGAATAAAACACTGTTGGCCAATAGGAAAGCAAGATAGGCGGGATTAGGAGACAAGGAGTATTTGGGGAGAGGTAGTAGGGAAGTTCAACATGTAGGACCAAGGGAGCAGAACTCTGGACCCGCTCTCCGGTAAGATAAGATCACGTGGAAACACTTAGATTGATAAAACGAGTTAATATTTAAGACAGAGCTAGCCAATAGAAATGCTAGTAATGCCAACAACATTATATATAATACAGCATCTCTGTGTGTTATTTGGGGCTGTCATGCCTGTGGGAGTAGGTTGGCGGGAAAACATGCTCATAGCACATAACCAGTAGTTACTCTTGCACTTATTTTGACATTCATACAATTAAGAATTTGTTGTAGGTGACTTGAAAAATCTTTCAAATGTACATAGTTAATTATTTTTATAGAAAATATTATGCCTAGGTAACATTTGGATTATTAGGAAAATTTTCATATGGTCTTAGATATGATATTTAAATAATAATACTAAAATATAAGAGCTATTTTATATGTCTTTACTTGAACTTTTTGTTTGTCAATGTCATCTGGTCTAGCACTAACTGTTCTGGAGCTCTCTATGTAGGCCAGACTATCTTCAAAATTGTGGGGGCATTTTTGCATCCTTCTGCAACTTCTGGGGTTACATGCAAGAGCCACCATGTGATTCCAAGAAAATCATTTTTAACAACTTTTATGAGCAAATAAGAAAATGTTCATTTGACAATCTCAAATGTTCCATTAATATGTGGATTTGTGGGGGAGGGGTGGGGAGAGATCCTTCATCCTTCATGCTGTGTAATCACATGGGGCATTATTACAGGCTACCAGTTCAGAACACGACAAGTGTGTGTGTGTGTGTGTGTGTGTGTGTGTGTGTGTGTGTGTAAATTTCCTCCATTCTGTAGAAGACTATGATGTAACTTATGAAGCAGATGTAAAGAAGAAAAAGGAACTCTAAACAATCCCCAGGCAGAATAAAGCATGGTAATTCTTTATTAAGGGACTTGAGTTTAATCTTTTTTTAAAAAAATAGCTTGAGAAATCAAAAGCAGGAAGGCCATGCCAAAGTAACTTGAATAGGGAAAGGCAGGCACAGAGGAAGGGCCGTTCCTGGTATGAGTTAATAAATAAAGGGATTTGACTAGACAGCTGGTTAGACCAGGAAGTAGTAGAACATGAAGTCAGAAAGGCAGCACAGAGATAATGAAGGTTATTAATTAATTGCCTTCAAGGATAGTCATGTTCCAGGTAAAAATGAAAGTGGAATTCCATATAACTATGATAATTTTAGAAGGAAGTAAAAATAATCAGGAAACTAATATTAAAATAAGTACCTAACAATGAATGTACTTTTCTTTTTAAAACCTGGATGAAAAAAAAAAATTCCTGTGGTTCAGCCCTTAATAAGTATGATGAATGATAACTGAAAGCAACTCAGTCTAGTTTCTTCAATCAAATAAAAGTTTAAATTAGCGTCCCAAGATCTATTAATGGAATTTCACTATCTATGCACACTGCTTTCTAATTACTTGAAATTCCAATAGCATTGTGGATCGATGAAGAAAACTAATAGCACACATTAAGCCATTTAACGACATTTCATCTAGTGATTTATTGTTTCCGAATCAAATTAATGTTGCTCTTTCATTTGGAATGAACTTCTTGAAGCGAAATTTTAGAAAAAAAAATACAAAAAGTAAAGTATAATTCATTACCCACTAGATCCATTTATAATGTGACAAACTCCACTTTCTATAATATTATCACTACAAGCCAGAGTTTGACAGAATGCATTCCTTTGGTTATTCTTTGATCTGATAATGGCCCATAGCTTGAGTTCTGCTAAGCCTCCTTTGTCAAGGCCACAATTACAGTCACCACAACAATGTGAGGACCATAGTTTCACAGCACTTATATTGCTGTTTTTTCTTAAATTTAATAATGATAATAGTAAAATAATAATAAATAAAATAAATAAAAATAATAATAAAAATAAGAGTATTCAAAGAACAAGAAATTCCTTGTAAGCATGCCTGATTTACTGTATCTATTGTAAACAAATGTTCTAGCTATAGGCTGAAAAGTTTCATAATTCATTTGAAGTCATAAACATATATATATATATATGTGTGTGTGTGTGTGTGTGTGTGTGTGTGTGTACACATATATACACACTATGGTACTGCCACATGATTGGTCCGTTTTTACATTTTTCAATGAAGAAATAAAATAACAAATGGGTAAATGTTATGTGATACTATGTACTTGAAAATTTATTAGTAGAAGAAAGTCCATAAGGATAGATTATACACTATTGAATAAGAACAGAAGTAAGGATAGAGCATAGGGGGATAGACTATAGGGATGGAGAGCTTAACCCATCTATGGTCAGGACTTCCTTAATGAGGAATAAAATATTCCAATTTCTCCGTAGCCATGGGAAATACTTAATCTCTATATTTTTTAGTATATGAGTGTATGTTTATTTTATCCCAGTAAACTTATTTAAATGTGTCTTCTATTATAAGGGCATGTTAATTAAATTGATTCTTATAAGATAACAAGAACCCAAGCTGGGCATTGGTGGCACACACCTTTAATCCTAGCACTCGGGAGGCAGAGGTAGGGGGGATCTCTGTCAATTCGAGGCCAGCCTGGTCTACAAGAGCTAGTTACAGGACAGGTTAAAAAAAAAAAAAGTAGAACCCCAAAAAGCACAGGAAAAAAAAGAAAACCTGACTAATGGTATTATACCAAGGCAAAAAGCTTGGCCAGCTAGAGAATGACCAACAAAGTGTAAACTACAAAGTGGTAGATGGTTTTTGAAGTGTCATAATAATTGGAATACAGGGGGAGTTCAACCAACTTAACAACAGCAAAATCTAAAACGTTATTTATGTAATTAAAAGTCTACAAATGACCTGAAACAACAGTTTTCATACAAATTCCTGGTAAGAACAATAAGAACAAATAACAACATTTGATCATTAGACGAATACAAATCAAAAAAGTGATGATTGTCTCACTTCTCTTGGAAAAACCATTATACAAAACATCAGAGAGATCAAATATCACTAGAGATGTAGAAAAAGAGAAACATTTCATTTACTATTGATGCAAACTTTAATTCGTTTAGCCGTAATTAAAACATTGTAGAAATTACTTTTATAGAACTAGAAGTCAAAGCTCATATAATCTGGCAATCTACTGCTAGTTATAAAAATAAATTAAGATGAATGGACCAAGAGGAGTAAGAGGTCCAGACTCTCTCTCCGGTAAGATAAGACCAGGTGAAAACACTTAGATTGATAGAAATGTGTTAATATTTGAGACCAAGATAGCCAATAAGAAACAATAGTAACAGGCCAACAGTTTCATAATAATAATGAAAAAAATAGAACTAAAAAAATTCAATAAGGATCTGTAGTTAATTATACCATGCGTTAAATTGAACTGTCATTTACAGGACATTTATTCCAGCAACTGCTTCTCGACTACTTCTGTACATATACAAACTTCTGCAAGATAGCCCACATTTTATAACACACACAAACACACACACACACACACACACACACACACACACACACACAATGTCTAAAAGCAATAGCAAATACCAAAACCAACATATTTTGCTGTTTTTTCCATGAGCACCTGAATCTACTGCTGTTTCAGCTGGAGATTGTGCCTTTGCAGTTACTGGCCGGTTTCTCCAGTAGGCAGCCCTGAAGGACTTTTGCGTCCGGTTTGATCAGCCAGCCTCCCGCAGCTGCCACCAAATGTAGTTTTTTAAGGAAAACTCTATCGTTCTAAGTATTAATAAGACACAGGATTCAGAGGCTGGGGTAGAAACCTGCTAGCTCAGAGAGGCTGAGCCACTAAAACCAAAAGAGGTCGCCCCGCTCAGAGTCCCTCGCTACCACTTCCTGTGCGTGTCTACATATTAGACTTGAACCTTTTTACTTTTTACTTTGTCACCTCTGTCCCTTCCCAGAGTCAAGTCTAATTTGAGTTTCCACTCTTAAGTTGTCCAACCATTTCTTGAAATACTTCTTGCCTTTCTTGTGCAGTTGTGGAATGCCAGCCCCGCCTCCCCCGACCCCCCCCCCAACTCTCCGACAAAACAAATTCTACATAAATTTCAGACTGTAGTTGGTGTGTACCACCATTTGTGTTCAGTCCATCTTGAAGTAATGTCCTTCTCCTGAAATTAATGAAGCGCCACCCAACTTAAAGTCATTATATTATTATTTTTCATTTCTTTTGGTTAAACTATAGTTCTGTTTCTCTTCCCTGTCTTATTCTTTAGTACTCCACTGTATTTTAATTTTGCTATACATTGTTGGATTCTTCACTTTTTCTTTGAGCTGTTCTCCAACACAGTACAGATTTTTCTCTTGTTGTTGCAAATGCATTTTTGCCTAGAGAACAGGGAATGTTTTCTACTATTTCCTCACTTGACGACCCTCCTTCTCAACCACTCTACACTTTACAGTACCACACAGAGAAACACAGGGATGCATACACTTGCCCAAAGTAGCTTTGTCCACGCATGCTCATCACAAGAAGGAATAAGGGACTATATTGGAAGATAAAATAGAAGGTGGGTTAGTAATTTAGATAACTGTAATCTGCTATGTGAGCTCAACTTACACAACATCATTCAGCTCCAGCCTGGTGTCAGGAGATGGATTGATCAGGATGTAGGACAGGGTGCTTTGATGATCATTCATTTCATCTGCAAGATAAATAAATGTTAAGTCTGTTATGATTCACTCAAAACCACAGAAGTCACTGTACCTTTTGCTTAAGTCCTGGAGGTGTCAGTGAGAGCTTGCTATAGTTGCTTTTTGTTCTTTTTCAGTTTTTAATGGATATAAGTTTGGTTCTCACCTAATTTTGTTTCTCCGGTAGATGATAAAAATAAAGTATCTAATTCTGTTCTATGTAACCATAGTTACATTCTCTCCTGGAAGTCATTAAAATTAAAAAAAAAGTATTTCTACTAAATAAATGATTATGAGATATTTACTTGATTCATTCCCCCCTTTATAATAATAAAAAAATAATTACAACTAAACATCATCAGCCCAGAGAACATTTAGATGGGAAACTCCTGTCCCCCCCCAAAAAAATCTAGTCATATGTATCTAGAATGTATTAGAGAACTTTGTTAAAATATGCACAGCTTTAATATGTATGTGTTCATGGCACAATTTGTTTCTTTAAAAAATACAAAGAAACCTTTGTAAAATCATTTAGTATATTAAGGAGCTTACACTGGCACATACTTTTCTTCTTATTGGCCATGTTTGGAAGTGCTGGTACCTTGAGGATACACAAGTTAATGTCCTCAGAGCACTGGGCTATGACCTGAGTTAGTTCTTAATAAATCAACTTATTTTAAAAGAGTAAGCCTTCAACCCCTGGGTTCTTTATATGTCACTCTGTAGGTTTCTATTTTATCTACACACCTATCCTGATGTGTAGACAAGGGGCTACTGCAAAACACTGAAAATGAACCTCTACTAGAATTTCTACCTCCAATGATATCACTTCAGTAACATTCATTTCTTTCATAGTACCCAACTTCATGTATCAGATGCTCACCGATACAAAACGAACTTAAAAATAATCATTTTAAAACTGTGAAATACTCTGTAGATCTTGATGTTTTTACATTCTAAGAGTATTCTAAGATGCAGAGATAACGACACGCAGACAAATACTTCAATGACTGCCTTTCTTTCCAAGGATAAAATTCGTCAGTAAACTTAAAACCACAACAAACAGTCTAAAGTATTAGTATTCTTTAGTGTACTTGTAAATAAGCATAATTCTTGAAGGTAATACTGTATTAAGTTCGAAGAAAAGTATAATTTTAACTTACCAAAGAAAGTTCCTCAATAGTTAAATATTTTGTTAAAGTTCATGCTAGGTCAACATAGCTGAATCTAATAAACAATTTGGTGTACTGAAATGCTATTTTCACAAAATAATTTTATTCATTACATTCATTTCAGTAGAAATAATGCCCTATTGTCATAATAAATTCTCCTTTGTTCAATTGATATGCAAATCTACTTTAAAACCTATAAATCAAAGTTAGCATCTCACAGGACAGACAAATTGCAGAATACCAAACGTTTACCAGAAAAGTGTTTCAATTCCAAACTGATTAAAATGATATTCAAATAATGTATTTGGTGGCTAACTGATGGAGGCGATACAGAAAAAAAATCTATATCCTCCCCCCTTTAGGGTCAGGGTGGCCAGGAAAAACAAAGAATGCCCAAGGAAGTGTGAACCACAGTTAAGATCTAACAACCAAACTGGCCTAAAGGTTGCAAGTGAAACACTGAAAAATTATTTGAAAGTCAAATGCAGCTGGGAATCCAGTGTATGTATTTGCTAAGTCTGGGATTCATACCTAGGGATGGATGTCTAAATCAACAGGCTGGAGTTTCAAATCAAAATTTGTTATACAAGTGTTATTTATTCCAAAAATAGTTACAAATCAAACGTAAATCACATTATACGGACATGAGTTTATCAAGATCATACATCTCTATGAAAAGTAAGTTTGATTCATATGTTCTTCCCTGAAAAACAAAATTGTCTTTGTGTGAATTATAACAACTTCTTTTCAAAGGAACTCAAATTATGGTGTACTCTGGGCCTTAAATCATAACACTCTGAAAGGCAGTAGGTACACTAGAAAAATCTCCATTTCATTTGGATGTGAGCGACTCAGTTTCTAACACAAACAACAGTATTCCTGAACTGCGGTACCAAGAAGACCATTTTACCAGACCACCTCTTACTCAGTAGTGTAGATACCGAGACCCCTTCTTTAGGTTTTGGATACAAGTCAAGAGGCATTGGGTGATCTCTCTCTCTCTCTCTCTCTCTCTCTCTCTCTCTCTCTCTCTCTCTTCCTCTCTCTCTTGTCACAATGCTGTCTAGATAAATACGAGTTTTTCTTAGAGTGAATGCAATTATTCTGTGAATATTTTTGGTTTGCTCAATTAGCCTATTCTAACACACCAAGCTGAACATGTTTGCCGTGCAAACGGCTCTAAGAATGACATTGAACACGTCGATCGTGTTTTAAATCAAGGCTACAGTCAGAATCAGCAATTCCGGTTTCTTTCATTGCCCTTCCATAACTAGTCCTCATGGAAGAGAAATGCCATCCTTTTTGAGTTAGGTTAAAAGTAGTTGTTGAGTTCAAAACCATCCTTTGAAGTCTGCCTTGCAGCAGAGCTCAGTCTGACCCCCCTCCCAGCTTGGTCTGCCACACTTTGTCTGTAGTTACCTTTTTATCTTTGTCATTTTTGCATTCAAGAATTAATAAGCACCTTTTAAGTCTATTGTGGACACACCTCAAAGACACATTCACCAACTGTTTTATTGGCCACACACTACTGTTTTAATATTGCTGAGGACACCACACTTTGACTCCAGGACACAGAGAAATCCATCTTGAGCTAACCAAGTCACTCCCTTATGCACACCGCTGAGGGGTAAATACAGCAGTGATCTTGTGAAGCATTGGATTGGACCCTGCATGTTACAAATCTGACCTAGTTAAGTGAAATGTTCCTACCGGTTTGATAATGCAAGACTGCTTAGAAGAGTGACTAATTGTTCTTTTGACTGTATTTGTAACATCAGTGAGAGGGAATATATGCACAGTACTGTAAACAAGCTCAAAACCCATGACTCGGGAAGTAATAGATCTATTGAAGACCTATTAATATGTTTTTCTAAATGGTCATGCTGTTACTATGCCTTGTAAATATTTATGTTTGTATTCGTTGGTCTGCACTGCTCCTATCTTAATCAGAAACATTTTATCATAGTGGGCAATGTATAATCTCAGAGATTCATTATTGTTCAAATTGGTAAGAGGAAGCAAATATGAGTGCTCAGCCATTCATGGGATTTCTAAATCAAGTCTACACCCATCTGGCTTCAAAAACATTCCTGAAGAGGTGGGCAGAAGGAATGTAAGAGCCCAAGGATGGGGGTGGGAAGTCATGGCTGGTGCATACACAATGCCTGCAGTTATCTGCACAAGACCTACACAAGATAGAGCCAGTTAAACATTACAGCATGAAATTGGAGAGGACCTCCCAAAACCTGACCCTAGCTGAGGAGCAAGGCAGCTAATGGCTGCCAGGGGGAGGGAACCATTTCTTTAGGAGTGTGGTCTCTGGTAGGTTTTCTATTTCCCATTGGACGACCACACATCTATGCACATACGGGCGGGCAGCACTAATTAGGCTTAGTGATTTAGATGAACAACAAAATTAGCTATAAAAGAACATTATGCCGGGTGGGAGATGTGTGCTAGGGATCAGAGGAGGCATTAGAGAGTGTGGTGGTTCTTTGCATTGTTTAAACTTTCCATTTCATTCATTTCTGGCATTGTTTTAATTATTTCTGTCTTCTGCTTTGGGGGTTGGTGTATTTTTACCTTTCGAAATGTTAAGGTGCACCCACCACCAAATAACTAATTTGTGTTCTCTCTGATGGAGACACTTAGAGTTACAAACTGCCCCCATAAGACTCTATATTAATTGTGTCTTGTAAACTTTGTTATGCTGTATTTTTATTTCATTGAACACATTTGCAATCCAATAGTGGGTTGTTTAAATGTGTTTGCTGTTTAAATGTTCTGCAAAAGATTAGCTTCTCATCAAAGTGTGATGATCTATACACTTGCAAACAAAACTCCAGCCCTCTCCTACACCAGCAGCTACTGTGTAACTGTTAACAGCAAAAACTGACAAGGGTTTTAAGGAGCATACCGTAGCCCACCGTGGAAAGGCCCAGGTGTTTCATCCTGTTTTTCACAAGCTCAGCAAGCTCCTGTCTTTCAGACCTCCTGTAGAGGTTCAGTCGCTGCTGGGTTATTTTTTCTGCAGTTTTACCGGAGTGCTTCGGGCCTTTTCTGCTCAGCCTTCGTGCCCACTGCATGCTTTTCCTCCGCAGCAAGGGGTGGTCCGACTGGTCGCTGGAGGTGGAGTTGCGGTGAATGCTGCGGTGATGCCCGGGCTCTTTGGTGTCTTTCGTGTCTTCCCACTCTTCCACGCTGATGGATATTTGAGACTTCAAAGGAAATGGATATCGGTGATTAGATATTGAGGGAAAAACCGTTGCCTAGAACTGAAACAACTCGCTTGCATGATGCTGGCGTTTATTGTACATCTGCTTGTGAGAGTTTCCAGGGGGGTGGGGGGGGATCAAGACACTGAATTCTAAGCATGTGCTTTTGCTAATCAAATTGCAGAAACGTTTCTGGACCTTATTGTGAATCTATTTAAACATCTGGATCTTCCTAGCACTAGTCTTCTAGGAAAAGACAATGTCATTTGTGGTTATGTGCTTTTATTTATTTATTTTTATTTATTTATTTATTTTGGTTGTTTGTTTGGTTGGTTTTTTCCTGTAACTGGTTCCCAGTATACATATATTTGAAACAAACACTCAGCATATGTTATCACTTCATTTAAGTACAGTCTAGGCAATTGACAGGTTACATCTGCTACAGGTGTTTTGGATGTAAAACAAGAAACTGATACAGAAGGCTTTAAACATATGACCATGAAATGACCTCTATAAAATGGGAAGTTCTCTTAATTCTCTTATCTCTATGAATTAGCAAAAGGCAGTTCTAACCTCGTCCATCCATTATGCACAATGTAAAACACATCTGTGATCCTCCACAGAAGGAGGAATGCTAAGGGAGATCACCACGTCTACCCTAAGCAGCTTTCTTTCCTGTGGATTCTCCTCTTCACAGTAAAAGCTTTTCTTTGTTTTAGTGTTACTGCTTTCCATACAAAGCAGCCACATGAAATGTAAGCCTAGCCAAGAACACTGTTACTATATGGGGACACACGCACACTGGTTAACAGCTTCCTTAACGCTACTGGACTGACGGACCCATGAATTTGCCATGGGGCTTCCCTCCAGGTCTAGAAAGCTTGCTTGTGCTTTAGTTTCTACAAGCACAAACAGCTATCTTCCAAAGCTATAGGAATCAAGCTACCAGTTTAAGTCAGGAAGTGAATCCAATACATCCTCTAAATAAAATATGAATATGCTATGAGGCCCAGTGTGTGCCTTACCCACAGCTGTAGCAACGCACCAGGAAATAACCAGAAACCACAGTTCAGCTAAAATATCAACACTTCATTCAGATTTCTACATAACATAAAACAGTTCATTTAAACTTCATATCTCTTGGTGGAAAGCTTATTCAAAGAAATGTAGAAACTGGATTTTATCTCTCAGAACTTGAACTGGAAGCATTAAACACTTTAAGTCATGAATACATTTATAAATCTTAACCCCCCCCCCACCGACTTAATATCACCACTAAAAAATCCCCTTCTGTGGAAGTAGTTTACAAACTATTGGGAAATATCTGTAATTAGTAAGGATCATCTACAGTTATTCAGTAATATTTGTAGCATGTCCTACATGAGCAATTGCTTGAATTTCTTCTGTGAAAACAGTCAAGGTGCTGAGTGCATATAAAATCACTTATAGTTTAGGTCTTGGAACCACACACTGATAAATATTTAAGGGGTGGAGGGATGGGAATTGATGCTATTTCAAGTGGATCTAAAACACTATTTGTCCCATGTCTCAGGTATTGTAAAATACAAGTATCTAAAATATGGATTAAAGTATATGTATATGTTACTGAAGCAATATTAAAATGATCATATTTAACATTGTTCTGAAATCCCATATGAGTGGGATATCATGATTTCACACATACAACGATTTACAATTGCAAGTCATTTTTCTTGTAAATCTGCACAACGAGCAAACATCTACAAATGTTACCTTATCTGGAAGAAGGAGGATGAGAATAATTTGGGGATTTTTTTTCTTTTTTTGTTGTTGTTCAGAAAACCAAGTTGAAACCTAGAGATTTCTTAGTACAAATTTGGATTTTCAAAACATTTCTATCTCCTTTGAAAAGCATAGTTGGGTTTTTATAGTGAGATGAACAAACTAGAGAGATGCTTCAGGATTTTTCTAGCTCGATGTGAAAACCTAACATTTAAAAATGAAATGTTGTTGTTAATATCCATCCTCTGCCCCTCATAAACCTTGTAAAAAATTCATCTAACGCATTATCATTCAGACAAAGCATTATCATCTCTAACTTTGAACTAAAGTACTGACGATAATAATGCATAAGAAATAAAGTTTACCCACAGTGTGCAGAGCAGTGCTGATAGGCACCTGTTATTAAACTGCGTATCTATTGTGTGCATGTGTGAAAAGATATCTTCTTGTGAATTAATTTCCTACTGTCTCTTCATTTGATGTTTATCATTCTATTCTGCTTTGGACTCAGCATCACCAGGCAAGACACAGTGCATCACAGCAAATGACACAGTGGCTTCACTTTAGGAGCTTCTCCTGAACTGCTGGCTCGAGAATAATAGAAGGTTAAACACAAGCATTTGGGATCACACTGGGCTTGGTTTAAATCCCCATAGTCTAAATGGCAGTTTCCTTTCTGTGTTATGAAATGTAAACTCTCTCCCAGCACTGAGAGGGGACATGGACAGAAGATTACATTCCTAACTCAGAAGCTATCTCCGATTGACACCAGGGAACAAGAAAACTTAGTTTTCCCCAAAGGTCTTACTGGGTATACAAACCACTCTTAAGGGCGTGATTCATGCTCAGCAGAGGGTGTCCAACACAAAACGAACACAATAGCATTTTCAGAGGTTCCTTGTCTCACAATGCTTTGTCAAGGCTTTTGGGATTTTTTGTTTTTTGTGTTTACATTACAGGTCCTTTTCACAGGTATTATTATTTCTGTTTTTGTGTTTTAAGGAGATTCCTAAAATTAGTGATAATTACACTGATTTTTTTTCATGATAACCCCTTAATAATGCTGAATTTTTGTTTTTAGAAAAATTAAGTTCTAAATTCTAAAAGTCTGATAAGGACTCAACCCTTGCTATCAAGGAAACATATATAGTTCTGGAAAAACTAGTTTGGGACTCTTTGAAGGGGGCAGGGAATGGAGTAAAGGGAAGAATGGGGTGAAGGCTTCAAAGCAGACAGAGCAATGAATAGTTAGCAGGGGCAAACAAAATGGACACACAGGAGGGGAAAAAAAGGAGATTTAGAAGTTATTCCAATTGGAAATTCTTAAAATAATTTGTAAAACAAGTAATGGGCAGAGGCTGAGGAGGTGGCTGGGGAGCGGGGGTAGACTGCTTGTTATAAAAGCATGAGGGCATGGGTTTATCACTCTGCCCAGGTTAAAAGCTTGGGTGGATTTGGGGGGCAAACTGGCAAGCTGATGCAGCTTAAACATTGAGTTTAAGGTTCAGTGAAAGACTTAGTCATAAAAATAAGGAGATTGTAATGGGATATTCACTTTGTCTCCTTCTGTGGCACTGACCACACCCATTGGGGTGGAGCCAGGGATGGAAGTGAACTATGGAAGTAGGTCTCAGGAGGAGACTGGGAACACTCTCTTGATGGCAGGACAGGGATAGGAGAGCATCCGGTGGAACTTGCTGGTATTCATCTGTCTAGGTTGTAAGTTATTTCTCCCTGAATAAACATCTCTTTGGTCTATTTGTTTATCCTGATCCTTATTAAACCACAAAATCTGGTGTCAGAAGTGGGATTCAAACCCACGCCTCCAGAGGAGACTGCAACATGGGGCCAGCCCCAACAAACACACAGAGACTCTGTATTTGATATAACGCTGTTGACCAGCTACTTGTTTCTTATGGCTAGCTCTGTCTTAATTATTAACCCATTTCAATTAATCTAAGTGTTTCCACGTGGTCTCATCTTACCAGAGAGTGGGCCAGGACCTCTATTCTCCCCTCTCTCTACATGCTGACTCCTCCCTACTACTTCCTTGACTCCTCCTTGTCTCCTAGTCCCGCCTATCTTGCTTTCCTATTGGCCAACAGTGCTTTACTCATTAACCAGTATGAGAAACATATTTACAGAGTGACATCCCCCATCAGGAGATGATGCAACTGTGGAAGACATGATGGATGACACACCTCTGACATCCGCATGAGTGTATCTACACACACACACACAAAGACACACACACACACAAATACACACACACACACACACACACACACACAAATATAGGAGTTGTATAAGATTGCGACTGTCGAGCATAAGATCCAATTATGCTTTACCATCCCATGAGGTTTAGCAATGTAGAAAATTTAGGGACTACAGTAAATTTGGGGCTCAAGTTGGAGTTTTAATTGGAGACTCTGGAGTTGGCTTTTCTTTACAATTAATATAGCAAATACAGAAGAAAGCCAAACGTGGGCTCTTGGAATGAGCTTCCTGCAGGGGAGGATGTTTCCATCCTCGGTGCCTAGCTAAATGTGAAGGAAATGTAGCATCTCATTCAATCTAGATCCCTTGGCTATCAAAGCCTCTCCGGAGCAAACAAATAAACCATATGAACAGCAGTGTCCTCACTAAATGAGGTGGATCGTGTATAACTGTTACTTTCCATTCCTTACCAGGATGCTGCAGTAACAGACTACATTAAAAAAAATCAACATGAGTTTGGCAAATTTCAGAGGACCATCTTAACACCAGATGTTTTGGGTACTAAGGCTCATTTACACGTTTTAGAGACTTGTACTCTACTGTCTGTGGCCAGACAACAATTTCCTCTTCATGTGGTAAAACACAACTGCTACTTCCTTTCTTCCTAGACACTGAAAATAAAAATCAATGCATATCCCATAAAAGTCTTCCTATATAAAAGCAACAATACAAGATTTTTCAAAGTCCAGATACTATTTAAATTAACCAAGACATGGTATAGATTTCCAAAATACTCAACAATGGGATATGAGGCAAAGCATTCAAATTACCTTCTTTGTACCAGCTACAGGGTACAAGCCGTAATGCTGTACTATAAAGTGTAAATTATGAATGAAGCAAGGCATATTTAGTCACAAAGATGTAGGTTCAATAATAACAACTTGACTCTGCATTTAATGTCTGATTGCTGACACCTCACTCCAAGGCAAGGGTATGATGGTGTCTTCTTTTAAAAACCAGTATGACATTCATGCTCATGTCATAAGAAACCTCACCCCAGGACTAGCCACTAGGCTCAGGTCATTTAAATTTTCCAAACTCTCTCAAACCACGTTTGGGTATGTTTGGATTCCTGCCTGCCTTATCCCCTCTCCTCAAAGCATCACGAAACAATCCCAGCATATAGGCAGTAGTATCAACATCACAACAAAACTTGGGTTGGGCATCCATGACTCCTTTGAGGTTGATCACTTTTCTTCCTTGCATTTTTCCCTGTTTAACATTATCTTCAACTATTAGAGAAAAAAAATTAAATAAACCACGCTGCTGACCACCTCCCATTCTCTTAGAAGCTTGCAAACTATGAACACATTTTTATGTGGGCAGTAAGGATAAGCTGATAGCTAAGTAACTAAGTCAATGATACAGGCAACACAATTAAAACTGTGAATGGGGGAACTTGTGTAGGAACAGGTGGTGTAGATAAGATCATTCCATGTTTCACAGGAAACTTAGGATTGGATTCAGGAAGAATGTCAGGAATCCTTTTGCAAAACACACTCACATTGATTTCTATAAAACAAAGATTATTTACAACTAAGCACCTATTTATCAGATTTTAACATACATTTTCACCATGTTTTATTTCTCCCCAACTTCTCCTATATCTTCCCCATCGCCCTACATATCCAGTTTTATGTTCTGTATCTCTTTGTCTCTATTTTAAAAAATAACAATAAAACCACTATATCTTGAGGAGCAGTAAGTAAGAGGAAATTAGGAATATGGGAATAAAAAGAACATGTTTTAATGGAAACAAAGATAGAGATGTTTCTCATGTAAAAGACTGGATGTAAAGGACTGTATTTTACAAGTTTCTTTTTCCAATTTTTATATTCATGTTATCGATAAAGTTAACTTTTATGAGGGTACTGAGGCAAAGTAGATTAAAAGAAAGGTCACCAGTTTAAGATAGTAGCAATGCCTGTGGGCAGACTTTTAAAGGAAGGACCTCTACCTTCCACTCACATATTGAATTATAAGGATTAAGTTTTCTAAATAATAACTTTCATTAAATGAGAATCAAGATTGGAAATTATTTATAAGAGGTACAAACATCTACATGTTAAATGAATAACTTTGGATATGTTATATCAGGCATTATGAATGCAGTTAATATTAATAACTGTACTTGAAAATTAATGTACTTGAAAAACCCTGAAAGAGATTTAGGAGGAACATTCTTTGTTCAATATTATAAATCTCATCCAGTATTGCAGATACTAAAATACATCTGTCTAAACTCTGGCCTTCTAGGTCTCCAACACAAACACACTGAAGATAAGAGTTCTCCAGACACTAGCTAAAGAGCTGCTTAACCTTTAGCCTTTGAAAAATAAAAACTACTTTTAAGGTTGCTTAATAACTGTAATACTTTGAAACTTTAATATACAAAGTTATAAAATATGAATACAACTTAGAATTTAATTAGTATAATGTCAAATTTCAGAAAGGGTAATTAGGTGATTAATATGTTTTTTTTTCTTTCTTACCATCTTTCTAAAGCTTGTATCTTAAGTTCAGCCTTTCAGCCCTAAATGTTTGAATAGATGGCTGCTAATTACACACCACAGTCCTGACAGCTGGGGAACCAGAATAGACTGCACCAAACCCCCTGAACACAGGTGTCAGTTAGGAGGCCTGGGCAGTCTATGGGGCCTCTGGCAATGGAACAACTATTTATCCCTCCCTAGTGCACAAATGGAATTTGGCAGCCCATTCCCCATGAAGGCATACTCTCTCAGCCAAGATGCACTGGGTAGGGATGGGGGCCCGTGAGGGGCATGGGAGGATGGGAGGGAGCTGTAACTGGGATTGATATGTAAAATAAGATTGTTTCTAATTTAAGTATAAAGAAAGAAACTATAGAAAAAAGAGGTTTGCGGCTGCTGGTTGCTATGGTCATTAGTTTCTCAGTGTTTGCTATTGCATCGTGCAACTGATACATTGAAATCGTGAAAGAGGGCCCAAAGTAAATCAATAAATGCAGTTCAAGGGCAAATGCAACATTATTTTGCGATCTTTTCCGGTAAAATAAAAAAAAAATACTAACTTGAAAAGTATGTATGAGCCTTTCAGTACAATACACTTTTTAAATGCAATCCTGAACTTAGTTTCCCATAGGGAGTTTCTTTAATATGTCTGATCTATTATATGCCAAGGAACACTACAAACAGAGGATACTTACTTGGGATGCTATTTCTCGAGACTGACACACAGGAGGGAAAAAGAAATACACAAAAGGCAGTTTAGACAATGACTGAACAGTACGCACATGCAACATCAATCAACAAGGACAAAATATGACATATATCCATGTTACACTTACAATGAATAATGAGCTACTTTTTGTAAGGCATTCGATCAAAGTCAAGTAAGCTATGGGTTTTTTAAATGTCTGCCCAAGATTCTTTAGGCTATGTACAGTAGATACTAAAATAAATGGTAGAGAAATAAAGGAACCACTCCACGAAAATGAGAATATTTTAAATAACCATTTGCACTAAACACATATAAAATGGGCACTCTGAGCATACATTCAGGAACATGATAACTAACTACAATCTGTGTAGATACACAAGACAGGGAGTAGAATTTACCCTATCAATATATTTTTATTGTTGATAAAGATGTTATTGTAGCAAAGCTACAAATTTTCTTGCTTGATATTTGCTTATATATGCATTTTTGAGTACCTTATCCTAAGGGAGTCTTCTGAAGAGTCTCTGTCCTCATAAAGGTTAAGACTACATCAAGTTCTATGACAATCCACTTGCAATTACCACGAACAATTAAGAAATATTTGTATTACACTGAACGTGCATGTGCCACTTTTAAAGACTATGTGAAATGGTAAGCCACAGGGCAATCAATGGTATTTGGAATGAAGACTGCTGAATAGTGATTAGATCATGAAAGGTCCAGTGATCCCAGAAAGCCTTTCTCCTTCTGTCCTGAGAAGATTGATTGGACAAATTGCAAAGAATCCCAAAGCAGACTCTCTCCAGAAAACAAGACTACGTGTATAGATTCTAGGCTTCCCAGTCCTTACAAATGTCAGAATCAAGATTTCATTTTAAAAAGATATATTTTTTGTTATCTTCATTATGTACACGGAAATGTGTCTATGAGAGAGTGTATGCACAGGATTTCGTGACCCTCCTGTGGAAGAACACTATGTACTCTTTACTTTGGAGCAATATTTCCATCCACTAAAGTTTCCATTTTTATAAGCTACTGAATGAATGGTATGTTACTATGGAAACGCTAGCAAACTAAGGAAATGTCAAATTACATATAAAAAGAATTTACTGTATAATCAAATAATATTTGTATGTATTCTAAAATCTGTAGCCACATATGCCGAACTAATTCATGTATTTAACTGTCCTGAATGCCTCCAGCCACAATGTGGATTGTTTTTCTTTGGAAGTGCTCTTTCTGAAGTGAACCTGTGAGTCTATCTTCAAAGAAAAAAACTGAAATTCAGCTATAGAGGAAGTAACAGAGATGTATTTAATGTCTCAGAAGCAACAATAAAGTCATCAATAACATCTCATGAAACTTAGTACACATCTATGTAAATTTATTATCATAGCTAGACAAAACTCTATCCTACTAAATTTATGCTGACTATACGACTCTTCTGTAAGGCATTCTCCATTTAATTGTAATCTAAAATGCTAAAATGAGTAACACTGATCTGAGACCTATGCATAATGTGATTTTACATAAGAGGAAAAGATTCAGCTAGCTAAATTGTCTTTGTGATTTATTATACCTCTGGAGTTTGAAAATAAACACTTGAAGAATATAAATCAAATGTTATATTAAGAAATATTGTACATATTTGTATGATGGTACACTTAGTTAAGAACTTCGTGTCATAACATAATCTAAAGGGTTAGATTTTACTAAGATTATAAAAATTACCTGGAACCACCAGATGTGAATAAAATCAGCATACAGAAGACATATTCTCAGTTTCAAAATCTTTCCTTCCATATTAATGGACTCTAGTGCCTGATGAAAATTACTCCTTTTCTTAGAAAGTCAGGCTCTGTTCCTAGACTTTTTTTATGGCTTTACATTAATTTTCGGTGTAGAGAGAGAGAGAGAGAGACATGCATTTTGATGCTTCATTTTTTTTTTAGCTTTGCCTCCTTTCAAAGGCTAACACATGCAATCAGAAAATATATTAGAAACATATGGGATTTTGAGGCTTTTTTCTATCTCAGAACCCTAGGGTGATGGATGGATTATTTTGATTCTTTAAAATGTTCTTGAAATGGCTAATCTTGCATCTAGAAGAGGACTCTGGAACCAAATATCCACAGAGGCTGGAGAAACCTCTACACGGCAATATCTCATGAAGTAGTTGAGATTTCTACTACTGAAAGTTTACTCTGTGAGGTTATCTAGAACTCCTGTTTACTTTCTATTACATTTGTGTGAAATCAGTTTCCGTACCTATAAATGACCATACCCATCAAATCAAAAAGATAGAGCAAAGAGGCTTTCGTAGTTCCAAACCTCAGATGTAGTTAGTTTCTGAGATTCTGTCCTGTAGATCCCAATGGGAACATCTCCAGTAGAAGAACACAGCTTCTGGTAGAGTCTGGCATATGTCCTGATCCACAAGTCCTCTTCAGTGATTTTCATCTATAATGCATATGAATGAATCACTCTGATATCAGTGTCTCAGAATGAAAAAAAAAAAAACTCAGTGGTTATGTTCTATTATTAAAAGCTAAATTCATATGTATTTTGAAATCTCCAAATAGTATTTCATAAAAGTTTGTCCACACATTGAGTTTATTTATTTCACTCCACCTCAGCCTATCCTGGGAGTTCATCCAAATCCAAGAAATACTAAGTAGTCAGTCTGGGGCAATATGGCATTATATTGGTACAATAAAAATAGGTAACACAACACTGGGAGATGGTGTGGAAACCTTTAAGATGATGTAATGACAAAATTGACACTGATACTTAGTGAACAGAGTTTTCTAAAGCTAAAAATGTAAGTTGCAGATCTCTAGTAATGAAAGTCCATGGACACAAGCAGATCGGTGGTAGAAGCACGGGGCCATAGGCAGGAAACCTGGTCACTCATCCCCCTGATGCTTGGACACCTGTACCACAATCAATGTATTGTATTCTATTCAATACACTCTTCTATAAAACAGAAGGTTTGACAGAGTACAAGCTGATCCTACATTCCAAACAGCTGGACAAAACAGCCCTACAGACTACAGCTAGGATATCTGAATTTTCTTCGAATCCCCCAAGACAGTGCCCCTTACCAGCAGGAAGTAGTTTGGAAAGAACGACGCCCAAATTCCCAAATATTGTGTATAAATGTTTGTTTTCATTTAATTGGACTTTGTTATATAAAATTAAATAAAAAAAAATAAATGTTAAAAAAAAAAAAAAAAAAAAAAAAAAAAACAGAAGGTTTGAACCAGGCACAACGCCACGAGCCTGTTCTCCCTGATATTGCAAAGGGGCTGGAGTGGAGGATTCTTGTTTCCAGGAATATGAGGACAGTCTGAACAACACACACAACAAGATCCCATTTCAGAGAGAGAGAGAGAGAGAGAGAGAGAGAGAGAGAGGTTGAATGCCAGAATCATTCTGCTCCTGGGCAGGTGGTTATCAACCCTGCCAAATTGTCAACATCAACTATGAGAGATTTTACTCGGTTATATATAGAATGTTGTTATTTTTTTCTTCTTGCAAGGATATTAATTAAAATGCTTTATTCACAAAACAGCATATAATAACTTAAAGCCTCAGGGTTTTTGGATATGCATGAGGAAATAAATGTGATTATAAACAAGTCACCAAAAATACATGGCAGGTGGATCTCCAAACCTTCTATCAGAATTCTCTTCTCTTCCAGACATGATTAACTTACAGAACAAAGAAACCCCGATCCTGGTATGGTGTCCAGTCCCAACAGAAGTCTGGTGATAGAAATCATATAATCTTTCACAAATGACTGCAATATAAGCAAAATATGTAGACATTATGTATGTGAGGCACATAGAATACAGAGGAGGGCGAGCACATAAATATTTCTGAAAAGTTGTTTTTATTACTTCACAAGCCTCGATAAAATGAGATAGAAAACATCTCAACTTCTAAAATGGCCACTTATAGTTAAGTTGATCCTAAAGAATTGCATGAAGTACTCGTTATTTAGAGATAATTATGTACACTGGGTTACTAGACATGATGCTAGCACTTTATATGATTTAAAAAAAACAAAAGTCTGCAAACTGAAATATAAAGGTGAAATTAATAACTATCAAAATAAACATTTTAAAATGTTTCAACCAGTCTTTTCGCTAAGAGTAAGCTGCCCAATGCTAAGATAAAATTGATATCTAGACTTCACTTACTGTTTCTTTCCCAAATGACTCCATGTTAAATGGGATCTCTTTAAAAGGAGAGTCATTACATTTTCCTAAAATAACACTGTTTATCACTCTACTATTTAAAACTCTACTATTGGCAAGCGTGTATAAATAGCATCATCTGAAGCCACCCCTAAGGTGAGGATGCAGCTTGTCTAACATGCAGAAGGACCAGGGTCCAGTTCCAGCATCAACAGTTCAGAAGTCCAGGAGAATATAAAGCATTTTCTAGAACTTGATAACTCTGAAGTTCTCTAGTTAGGCGTTTTATGAAACAAATAGTAAAGTCACATTATAAATTGTTGCCAGAAAAATTGTAAGTGAAATGTAATAAACTTACCAAAATGGAAATGAATCTAACACAGTAAATACGTTTTGCTATATTGTGGGGTGGTTTTGCTACTTTGTACACACACACACACACACACACACACACACAGAGAGAGAGAGAGAGAGAGAGAGAGAGAGAGAGAGAGATGCAGTACTTGTTGAATTTATTGAATTTAAACGTGAAATATAATGCTGACTGATAACAATTCTGAATTTAAAATACTTTTTTATTTATTTATTTACTCATCTATCTATATGGGTGCATGTGTGCCACAAAGAGCCTGTGGGAAACAGGCAAGCAGATTCTTTTCTGAAACGTAGGTCTCTGAGATGGAACTCGGGTCTGCAGGTTTAATGAGCTCTACCATCATGTCAGCCCTAATTCAGAACTTTCAAATTCTACTTGAATCGTTGGTAGAAATTTCAACAAACAACTAACTTCATTGTCTCTTGATAATGAAAACCAAACCAAAGAAGGTTTGAGAATTGGTCTGTTCTTCTGGAGGTAATGTTAGCATTCTATCAAGGGGACACGGGGGGGAGCACTAGCTTCAGAATAGTAACTGAGCACTTCCCTGTGACTGATATAAACTATCAGCATGAGGACTGATTGGTAAGACCTCAGGTAAAGCTGAGGGTTTACATCAATCAAACTGCTGCTCTTCAAGCAAAATTTTAAAAAAAGTGAAAAAAAAAAAAAGAAAAGAAAAAGAAAAAGAAAAACCTAAGTTGTAATTTTCTCTTCAAAAGGTAAGCACATACATATTTGGGGTGCTAGGGGTCCTAGCCACGCCTGTTGGGTTAGCCAGATAAATTATCTAGAAACATTAGTACAAAGCATTAATACTGCTACATTGTTTGCTGCGGCTCCCCTCCAGCACAAGCATGCTGCTCCCTTACCTGTAAGCACACACAGGGACAGGTAGCCCAGAGGACAGCATAACATCTCCAGATAGCGGAGTCTGTTAGTCAAGATAGCAGTTGTAGAGAGGTGCAGCAAATATATAATCAAAAGCAATGTGGAGAAAAAAACAAAAGCCAAAACAAAACAAAGCAAAAAAACCAGGAAGGTGCCTAGTTTCAAACTGATGGTATGAAATAAAACCCCTATGAATATATTTTTTCCTTTTACATGGAAAAGCCTAGTGATTATGTGAATAATGAGCAATCCGGAAACATTACTATCATTAGCTGCGGACAGAAATAAACAAAAGCAGACTATGGTAAGTTTTTGTGAAATATATGGAGTTTAGGATTGCTTAGGATTACTGCACAGAACTAACTCAGTGGCTCTGGGTTGTAAAATGTTTCTTCTATTTATGTAAAGTGAGCAGAAATGATCGGATGCTTAAAACCTCCAGTTTAGAATTCTAATAGTTTGCTATTCTGTTTAAAATCTGAAAAAAAAAAAAAAAAAAAAAAAAAAAGAAAAAGAAAAGAAAGAAATACTATAAGCAAAGCTACTTTTGGCTTTTTGTTAATTTTTTTTTTTTAATAAAGTGTTTCAGAGGCTTGTTGGGGATAATAACAAAGTACATTAGTAAATTTCACAGTAAACTGATATCTAGGAACACCAAGAAATAGTTTTCATAGACTATTTTATTTATTATTGTTGTTGTTAATATTGAGAGGGAGGAACAAGAAAGAGAGAGAAAGACTGGCCCAGACAGAACCAGAAAGACAGAGATAGAGAGAGAACCCACAAATGCACAGTCCCCTGTGAAAAACAGGACAAGTTTTGGGAGTCAGCGATTTCCATTCTCAGTTCTGGGGAAGAAACTTGGGTCTTCATGCTTTTAATTGTGTGTGTGTGTGTGTGTGTGTGTGTGTGTGTACACATGCATACACATTTTTACTTAATTGTTTTAAAATTACTTCTTTCTTATAATAATATTTTTTATTAAAATTTTAAACAAGCTTGTTTTACAAGTCAATCCCAGCTCCCTGACCCTTCCCTCCTGCCCTGCCCCCCTGCTAACCCTGATCCCATCCCATTTCTGCTCCGTAGGGAGGGTGAGTCCTTCCATGGGGAGTCTTCAAATCAGGGTCTTTGCCCTCCCCCATGTGTCTAGGCTGCAGGAGTATCCCTCTATGCGGAATGGGTTCCCGTAGTCCGTTCCTATACTGGGAATAAATACTGATCCACTACCAGAGACCCCATAGACTGCCCAGTCCTCCTAACTGACACTCACGTTTAGGGGGTCTGGGTTGGTCCTATGCTGGTTTCCCAGCTATCAGACTGGAGTCCATGAGCTCACCCTTGTTCAGGTCAGCTGTTTCTGTGGGTTTCTCCAGCCTGGTCTTGACCCCTTTGCTCATCACTCTACTCTCTCTGTAACTAGATTTCAGGAGTTCAGCTCAGTGTTTAGCTGTGGATGTCTACTAATGTTTCCATCAGCTACTGGATGAAGGCTCATGTTTTATTTTTGAGATTATAATATAATTACATTGTTTACTCCACTTTCCTCCCTTCACACCTTCTCATATACCCCTCCTTACACGCTTTCAAATTTATGGTTGTTATATGCATCATATGTATATGTGTATGTGTATGAATATATATTCCTAAATACAACCTAATGAATCTGTATAATATTACTTGTAAGTATGTTTTCAGGTCCAAGCACTTGACTTCACATCATAATATATATTTTGGGTCTTTTCCAAACAGGGTTTCTCTATGTAACCCTAGCTGTCCTGGAACTAACTCTTTTAGTCCAGGCTGGCCTTGAACTCACAGAGATCTACCTGCCTCTGCCTCTCAAGTGATGGGATTAAAGCCATAAACCAATGCTGCCTGGCTTAAAAAATATTTTTGAATTAAATGATTCATATCAGCATTTATGTGATTAAATAACATGGAAACATACTAAGCTGTTTCAACCCAACCTTTAAGTTAAAAGTACAAAATATCTCTATCACTTATTTTTACTTAAAATCTAAGTGGCATATAAAATAACCATTTTGAAGAAAGAAGATAGATCACATACCTGATACAGAAGCGTGTCTAACATGCTGATGCTGAACACTCGCCCTGCGGCGAAAGGCAGTCGAAACATAAAGGCCAGGTTAGAACCCCGTTCTCGCTCTTTCTGTTCAGAAGCAGAGGGAGAAGCTCTGAGAATCTATCTATAATTTACGCACTGCTGTGTGAGCAAATTTTCTCAGCACATACGAAAAAAAAAGATATTCTTATTGAACTATTAATGAAAAATATGCCACACCATCTTTTGTTTGATTGTTTTGGTTTGCTTTTATTTTGAGACAGGATTTCTCTGTACATTTGGAGGCTGTCCTGACACCGCTCAGTAGACCAGGCTGGCCTTGAACTCATGGAGATCTGCCTGTCTACCTCCAGAGTGCTGGGATTAAAGGTGTGCACCACCACTGCCTTGTGCCCCACCTTCTTTTAAAATTGATTTTTCTGTATTCTATTGTCCATGTATGAACAACTTCAGTATGAATAATACAAACCCAGATCAGAAAAGCAAAGCAGCCAGATACCAGAGAGTTCCTATCTCCACCAAGTCTGGGGCAATCCTGTCCTCAAGGTGGCTGGAGACTAATTGCCCACTCGGAGACCCTGCTCCTGTCTTACATTCCCCTCTAGTGTTGGGATTAAAGGCGTGCACCAGCACCACCCAGTATCTACGGCTAACCAGTGTGGTTGCTGGAATTAAAGGTATGTACCACACCACTCCTATCCTCTGACTGTGGCTGGCATTGCTTTCTGATCTTCAGGCAAGCTTTTTTTTCGATTACAAATAAAATATCACCACAAACACCTTTCCTGAACCTATTGGAATATCACATAAGTCAGAATGTTAACCTCTTTATGTGTAAGCGTTTATTATTGCTACAATAGATGACATAACTAATAAACAAACTGGTTGGATCAAATATAAGCAGTGACTGAAGTTACATAATTTATCATGATGCTTCGATTTGCCTAAGTCCTAAATGCCATGGATATGGCATTACAGGGTCAAGCTCTAAGAAACTAATTCCATCATATCCCAGCAAGAGTTCTCACTAAAGGGGTCAGTGACCTACAAATCAAAGTCGTTCTACCATGAGCCGGCTTTGAGCAAACACGTGTGCTTTCACCACTCCCCTCAACAGTAAGCCCGACAACCTGGGACTCCTCATACTCCGCAACTGAGAGAAACACACCTAAGCTCTCTAGTCCTTGGAACATTGGAGTATTAGCTCAAAGGGAAAAGGCGCATCACACCCTATCATGTTAACCTATCTCATCCTCATGATCTCTCTCACACACATACTTACAGAGAAGCTCCTTTCCATTTCCAAGGGAAAGTTTATGTACACGCAAGTATGCAAGAATATTATGGTGCACAGTAATGTCTCTAAACATAACTGTAGTGTTATTTGGATACAGTGGTACAGACTTGGAAGGCTGAGGCAGGAGTATAAGCTTCAGATCATCCTGTTTTATAGAAGACCCTAAACTAGGCACCGTGAGAGAGCAAGCTAACCTGCGCTTACCACTCATTAACTTCAAAATCAGAATTTCTTTGCTGCAAGCTTTACTAGGGCAGACCAACATAGTTATGTGAGAAAGGGGTCCACTTCTCGGAGAAACCAAAGACCCCATTTTCAGCATAGCAAATTTTTGAGATCTCAAAGAGAAAGACCCCCTCATACTCTCTTTTATTTATCCATTTATTATTGTTATTATTATTATTATTATTATTATTATTATTATTATTTTAAAGAAGGAGTTGGGGGCTATTCTGAACGGCTATGATAACAAAGCAAATACAAAAAGTGTCCAGAAAGGAATATGCATCTGGGGGATGTAAATTGCTGAGGCCACTGTGGCAATGATTTTCAACAGAAATATGTTGAGATGTCCATCATCAGGTTTGCAGACGAAGAACATGGTTACAGACCAGATTTCCTCGTACATCTTCACTACATCAGTGAACTATCGACCTTGGGACTTTGGACCTTTCCTCCTGGATTTCTAATCAGAGCTCCCATACTCTAACCTTAAATCCACTCATGAGTTTAACCTGAATACCCCAGGGCAAGCTAGCTCATGAACAGCAACCTAATTAGTAAATCCTGGTCAAAGATGAGTAATGTATTGGTGAAAGTATCTGGTGACTCCCTGCAAATGTATCAAATTTCCAAAATCTGTCACTAGCTCTTTAATTCCTCCCGCTAAATTCTACTGCTTTACCACTAGGTAGTTCTTGAATCTGACATTTTCCCACAAGACAGCCCCCACATGCTGCTAATTAATCCCTCCTTCCTGGCAGCTCAGAGTCTGTTTATATATCAAGTCCATTTACCCTGTGATTATACTTTTCTAGACTTGCCTGGAGAGTGCAGAAGCAGAAACTCTGTGAATAAGTAAAAAGTTCTTCATTCAGAGAATCAGAAGTGTTTTGATTTTTTCAGAATGTTTCGTCAAACCAACTTAAATCTCCCACCAGCTTAGTGGGTTGGTGTGGATGCTCTCCAGTACATCATGATATCTTCACACAGGTTAATCAATCCTGCTGGACTATTTTCTGACAGAGATGCTTTTCTTTCTTTTTCCTTCTTTCCTTCCTTCCTTCCTTCCTTGTTTTTTCCAGACAGAGTTTCTCTGTGTAGCTTTGTGGCCTGTTCTGGAACTCGCTCTGTAAACCAGACTGGCCTAGAACTCAAACTCACAGAGATCTGCCTGCCTCTGCCTCCCAGTGCTGGGATTAAAGGCATGCGCCACCACTGCCCAGCCAGAGATACTTTTCTAAGCCCAAGGAATCTCATCTAAGTTTATTTAGAAAAATATGTGATACCAAAAAAAAAACAAAAAAACAAAAAAAAAAAACCTTTCATGTGACTCTCTGGTTCAATCACATTACTTGGAATACTTGGCCCATAATTCGACTGGTGAAGATTTTCATTTGTTAAAATTGACAAATAGGTAGTGCACTTTGGCATGGCTTGGTGATCGGCAGAAACATATATCAGGGTTCAGGTAAAGTGATGCTCCATAGTTATTGTATGACCTTGGAGACTGTACTTCATGTCCCCGCTTGTGTTTCCTTACAGGTGAAATGGGATTGTGTTTGCAATAAAGAAAATATCTAAGGGCATTTTATATACAGCAATCACTTAGAAAACACTACACTCTATCATCATTAGTTATTTTAATATGTGGAATTGTGCTTAGCCTTAAATACTTCATTTCTTTGTCCTGTAATGTTACTTCCCATGGTTTGATTGCCCTGGTTTGGTTGTTGCTGTAACACAACCATTCCTTTCGCACCTAGGGCTTTCTGTCACCTCTATGCGGGCCTTCCCTAGTTACTCTTAAAAGTGGTCTTCAACTACTTACATTGCACAGCTGAAATCCATAATTCCTTACTTCTCCTTGTTTTGAAAGTTATTTATATATTATATGTCTCCACTAGACTCTTGTGTTCCATGTCAGTACACACCACGCATTTCCTTCCTGCTACTTACCATCATGTCAGAAACAGCATGTGGCCTACAGATGGGCAACAGAAGGAATTATTTGAGCAAATGAATTGTTCTATGTTTAGTAGCTGCCTACATCAAAATTTTACTAAAGATGTTAACACTTTTAACCTCATAATCTACAAGCAAGAAACTAAAAGAAACAAAATGGGGGATATTCCATGTTTCTCTTTTCTAGATCGAGGTCTGGAGATATGAAGGAATGTACTGTTAATTTCTGTTTTGCAATGTCCCCCTTCTTTAGTTTTGCTTGTTTTATAAGACATACTAGCTAGTTCTACAATTGCTTCTAAAACAAACATATATTATAATTCTCTCTGAAACCATAACTATGGTACATGAGCCATCTTTCCTTGGCTTAGCTCCAGATCAGTGCCCTGCATTTGAAAGCCACTTCTGAGTGATAAATGCAACACCACACATCATCAAAGGAAGACCATCACAGAAAAACACAGAGTAGAGATCAATGGATCCTGGTGATGCCCACCCATCAGTGGATAGGTCCTATGTCACAGCTCCCACATCTAAGGCTCTGGGAACATCACAGAAGAGTCGAAGGAGCATACCAGGAAGGCTTGTGTGAAACTGTCAACTCTTAGAAATGGCTCCATAAAGCAAGACCAGAACAATGGTAATATCGGTACATATGCTAATGTTGGAAGGGGAAAAATTTCATGGGCTACCCCTCCATAGACAAAGAGCTAAGTTAACTAAGAGAGAGGATCAGCCTCTCTTTGTTATCCAATACAGTGTGGTCAGTTGTGAAACCACATAAACACAAATAATGAAAAATGGACTCAGTAGGTTGTATTTATATATTTGTGCATACATATAGATGTATTTGTATGTATGTAACAATGTTAATAATATGAAACAAGAAAGACTGTCAATTTTGGAGTGGGAGAGGGCATTGAGAAGAACATGGAAGGGGGGTCCAGAAGGGGCCGGGAGCGGGGGGAGGGAGGAGGAAAAGCAATGGGGGAAGTAACCTCATTCTATTTTCATTTAAATGTTTAAGAAACATCACTCCTCCCTCTCTGCAGCTGGATTCCAGGAGTTCAGCTCACTGTTTAGCTGTGGGTGCCTGCTTCTACTTCCATCAGCTACTGGATGAAGGCTCTAGGATACTCACTCAGCCTAGACACACTGGGAAGGGCCTTTAAAGACTCCCCAAGGAAGGCCTCACCCTCCCTGGGGAGCAGAAAGGAGATGGGATGGGAGGCAGGGGAGGAGGGGAGGGTGAGGGAACTGGGGTTGACATGAAAAACAAGCTTGTTTCAAATTTAAATAAAAAATATCATCATAAAAATGTTTAGGAAACAAACAAGGAAACCAAAAGTATCCTCATATCTCTGAATCGTGGATACAATGCAGGGGAGACCTTGCCTATCCTGCTTAAGGGACTTTAATTCTATCCCACACTAAGCAGGAAATGTTTTCCTCCCTAACAGAACTAACGCTGTATTCAAATGAAGTATCCTTGAAAATCTCCTATTTTCTTGATAAGCATTTATCTAAAACACTTAAAAGAATTATGCAGCACTTACGTCATTGTTTAAAGGTTTAAGATAGTTTAATGCATTTGCTCATAATTTCCCTTCTATTAGATTTGAGATCATGCGCACGTGCCTTTCTTGGAGCTAGAAATTTAATTCTGGCAGATACTTTGTTTGCTCTGCGGCCACCCGATACCATATGGAATGAGATGACACATTTTTGGATATCATAGAGCAGTGTGGGAGGAAAAGCAAATCAAGACTCATTGGTACAAATTACTGGCTTCTATCTCCTCTCTTAAATACAATTCTTTGGCATGCCTTCATCTCCACTCCGGACCCCTGACAACAGATTCCCTAACTGCAGTAGCTTTTCAAAACATTTACATTTATTATCTATGCAACTTCTCCTAAAGTGCTTGCCCCAAAATATTCATTGAAACTCTAACAATCGGCTTGACCTTTGACATCACCATCTCAGGCTAGATGGCTTTTTCCTCTTTCATCTCTTTAATCTGTCTGCTTTCAGTCACTCTTCTAGGAAGTTTGAGATAGATTTTTTTTTTGGCTAAATTCTGTCTCTGTACAAGTCCCCCCCCCCTTCCATTTTTAAACAATGTGCTTCTTTGGTTGGAGAAACAGCTCAGCAAATAAAAGCAAGCATCTACCATGAAGCCTGACAACCCATGTCCAACCCTGAGATCCCAATGGTACAGGAAGAAAACTGACTACAAGTTGTCCTCAACAACAAGTTGTACATCAACATCCATAACCCAAGTATGTATTTTTGTGTGTGTGTATATATATATATATATATATATATATATATATATATATATATATATTTGATCTGCACTTGAAATTTCAATATTTATTGTTGTTTGTAGTTCATGGACATATGCATTCATCTTCAAAAACTATACATGGCAACTCTATGGAATGTTCCAGAGTAAGCATCTACACTGTGGCCATTGCAAACTAACTTCTCAGGACGCTCATGGTCTAGGTAGTGGCCCAATGTGAAGATCATAAACCTGCTGTTTTAAAACTTAATGCATACATTAAAATTGTTATTCATATAAATTATATTTGTCACCTCTTGTAAATAAATAAAAAAACTGTATTACTTCAACTTCACTTGAAAATATTATGTGAGGAAAGAATAAATAGTATTCATAAAAACAGTATATGAATTTCTACTAATGAATCAAACCCAGTGCTGGCATCGAATACCACAATTCAATTTAGCAATCATAATGCCTGAATTTTTAATGAATAATTCAATAATTCAAGATAGTTGTCTGTACAGAAAATAGAAAGTTAGACAATATTCTCTTATGAAATTTTATATATCTGTGTTAGCCATCAAATTATAATTCCCAAGGTTTTTGTTCAATTTTAAAACTGGCAATATATGGCAAGGCATTTTGTGCACACGCAGTGGCTGCCCAATAAATATTCATTCACTTTAATTCAATCTAATTTAAGCTTAATTTAATTTAATTCAAGTTTGATTTAAGATGATGCACAAAATTATTCCTTGTTGATTTTACAAAATGAACATATGCAAAACAACAAAACTTTAACATTTTTTTCCCCTATTGGTCCTACACAATTCTTCTCTCGTGATAAGTATACTTGCCTTTGCTATGGGTATCCACATAAAGTTTTCTATAACATTAGAAAGGATTTCTAGGATGTAAGCAGATTTCATTTTTAATTAAATGCTTAAAAAACATTTTAAAAATCTCCATTTTGTCTTTCTTATAATTAGTGCAAGAAGCATAATCGCACAGGTTTAGCCACTAGTAAGTGCTAAGAATATCACCCACAATTATGACACTTCTGTATCCAAAGTTTTTGCAAAATAATTAATTATAGAGATTGGGATCATGATTTGTGACAATAAAATTTATCCTTTTATTATCATTCAAATACTTTTGTAATAAAACATTGGGCTGTTTGCCTTTATTATGAGCCGTAATCTTTATGTAGCATTATTTACTCCTTAGTGCCATTCTCCAGATAAGATTTCAAGCCTAAAAACAAGAAAATAATTAATCCAGGTTCCATTACTGAGAAGTGTGGAGAGTTGGCCTCGGACTCCGGAGCCTGGCCTCTTTGTCCTCGCTTGCCAGGATGATGATAAAAGTAGATGCTGTCACCAGTTCCACCCAGACTCCTTATTACTGAGTTTGCCTTTGTAAACTGGGCCCATTTAATCCTCACTAAAAGACCTTTGAAGTGTTAACGTGATGTGGAACATGCTGGATTTGCTATGAGCACTCTTGGCTCTACGTTTCCCAAACAACATTGACTTGAGAGCTGTATAATCTTGATAGGACCTATTTAAAACACATCAAGCTCATGTTGTACATTCAGTAAGTAGAGAATTCCGATGATTTTGCTAAACCCAAAGGATAGTATGGTATAGAGCAGACTAACATATCATATGTGTTTGCTCTGGAGATTGAAGTACACAGAGGATACCATGTAGCTTTCACAAGGCACTGTTTGTCTGACATTCTGTCTGACTCTATCCAGCTGTGCTTGTACTTGCCATAAACAACACACAGGCAAACCGTTACTGATGTATTTGCATTATCAAGTTTGGTTATCAGCAAAACTAGGGCAGCTCCTGCTAGCTTGACCATCGTGCAATGTGTCTTCAGTTGAGCAAGCTGATCACATGAGAAAGAGCTGAAACACTGATCTTTGCTATTGATGAACACAGAACTATGAAGCATCTTCCAACCAGTCATAAAGCTCAACCTCTGAGAAGCTGACTGCAAGTCAGCATTATCCCAGAGTCGAGGAGTCTGGAAACCATACCTTCACATCTACAGAACAGAATTGTAAAACCATCGATTTGTTCAGTATCCTAATAATATAGTCCTAATTAGGTGACTTCTTTGAAACACTCTTATTAAATCAGATTTCCATTCCTTAGTGTGTTTCATTCCTGCTTCCCACACTCTGGTGTCATACCGTAGCTCTGTTGGAGTGGTAGTTAGTCTCCCTTGCCTAGGTCGGCGGCAAATTTAGCTTTGTCTCAGGCTTTGCCAGTCATATGACTGAAGCCAGCGATCACCAAAGACTGCTTTTCTTTTAAGTTTTATCTTCCACAATTCTTTGAACCCAAATGGACAAACTTTCTTAACATTGGTCTTACCTTCTCCAGTTTTGAAAGTGCAAGAGAGTAACAGTCCTTGGCTCTGAATTGCATGAATCTCATATTTGCTGGGTGGGTAAGCTCGGTGATAATACTGAGACTGGAAAACAACCTAAAATTAAAGAAAAAGTCATCACACTAATAATCCAATATGGCATGTTTTTGTAATAACATGTTTACGAATGAGTGAATGTTAGCCATGGGCATAAAACTACATCCAATTACAACAGCAGCCACTGCCACATAGAATGATCTGTAAAATACAAGGAAAGTGAAACACTATTTTTAAAAGTATTTTAACCAACATATTAGTACTATAAGAAAAAAATAAATTTAGCAATTTTCCTTTTATTAGACATTTTATCTCCATAATTACGAAACAGCGTAGAAGGGAAACTCATAAAGTTGATGTAAGAAGTTATTAAGATTACTTTGTGAGTGATACTAAAATAAAATATATGAATATTTAGATTGCTAAAAATTTCACATGATGTTCTTCTGTCCATTCTATGAGCTTTCCAGAGCTATGGTTTCCTAGCCTAATAACGTACTCTTTCTAAAGTTCAAATCTTGATACACTGAGCTTCTGAGGTGAGAAAATTTCACCAATGAATTGGAGTCAAAGCTAAAACATTAATAAAGGTGTCAGCATGTGAGTGCTTTTGAATTACTTACTTTTCATATGTCCCTTTTATACACTGAAAATTTCACATGTCCACATACACATACTTGATTTTTATTTCACCCTCACAGGGAAGGGCATCATGATAATATAACAAATGTTTCTGTTTTTGATTCTGTTGTTGCTCTGGTCTATCTGATCTTCGGTTTTTCTGACTCTGATATTTTGGGATTCTCCAGTGGTTATTTTCTTCCTCTCTCAAACAATGCCTTTAAGTTAAACTAATCTAATATCACTTAAAGTGGTTTGAACTCACGCCCAAACACGAGGACTAGCACTGACTGAAAAGCGTGAGACATAAGCCATTTTTTTTTTTTTTTTGTGGGCCTCAAGAACAAATCAACTCCATTTCCTCTTAATTCCAATGCAGAGGGTCCCTCCTGCCTTAACAGCTCATTGCTTGACAGCATTTGAAAAAGGGATGTCTTTGTTTTAAAAGAGGAGACCCATTCCTAAACCATAGTGCTGAGAGGGTTTTTACATTTCCTAGGCTCTAATCCCTAAGCCATGGCATTGAGGGGATTCTTACATTTTCCTGGGCTCTAATTTCCTGATGCTGAAGGAAGACTTGCTGAAACATCTCGTTCCTACCACACAATGGTGGCAAGCTAACACTTCAGCAGAATTCCAGGACCTGTTCCCAGACGGGCCCATGGTTCCAAGGACTCCCTTTACCGTTCTTCAGAACACTGTCCTTCAAAGTTCTACTTGAAACTTGTACATCCTCTCCTTTACCCAGGTGGGCCTTTAGGAACCATGACGTCATTCATGCATTATGACCCGTAGAGACGTAGGCAGTATCGTGCCTTCATCGTGCCTTTTATTTCTTTGTCTGAGTGACACGTAACAAGGGTGAAGTAAACAATAACCTGAATATGATATGCTTTCATGAGGCTTAGCATGAAAACATAGACATTTTATTTGTGTGACATGTTATTGTTTTCAATGTCTTATAAGGAAGAGAGTTCTGATGGTCATGGTTGGTTTGTGAAACATTCAGTCACGTGGCAGGAAATAGGTAATATTTCTAAGGAATTTAAATATTATTATTACTATTTTATTATTATTATTATTATTATTATTATTATTATTATTATTGTGTGTGTGAGAGAGAGAGAACACAAAGCCATAGTAGAGCCCCTTCCTACTGAGCCATATCACCACTATGGCTTATAGGAGCTTTACTGATTTTTCAGCTGTTTTTTTTTCCTCTTTTTCTTTTCTTAGCTTTCCTTTTTTACAATGCCATTGCTTTGTTTGCTTTTGTCTTCGACCTTAACATGTTTGAAAGCAAAGCTATTTTTTTAAATTTCCTCTGGAATCCAGTTAAGATGAGAAGTTTTAAATCTTTTGAAGTGAAGAGCCATCCCTAAAGCTCCCTGGAATTTGGTTTTCACACTATCTACTACTGCCCTATACGCCAGGGGATTTTTCTCTTACGAAATAGCAATATCTAGAAAGGCCAGGGGCTCTTTTCAGGGCCTATCACAGCCTACCTTGTTATATATCATTAAGTGGCAAACCTTTTAAGACCTGTTGTGGCTCACACAGTTGGGATGGAGGGTTTGTGGTTGACACAGGGCTTGTGCTGTTTAGTTTACAGAGATTCTATACTGTGTGCATCCCAAACAATGTGCTTTCAGCATGTTTTTCTTTTCATTCAAATATCACAATGGTAGTTTATCATATAAAGCCCTTCAGTGGGAGAGCTCCAGGAAAAAAAAATTACAAGAGCCGCCTCAAAAACAAACAAAAAACAAAAACAAACAAACAAACAAAAAAAACCCAGTTGATTTCTGAACCAGCCAACTAATAAAACTTATGCCACCTTTGGAGTTTCAAAGTCATCTATCTAATAAATAAAATAATATCACTAAATGTATTTCACACATGGGACTGTCACAGCCAATAGTGATTAATAGGAGACCACCAAACTTAAATGGATAAATAATGGCATCAAAGTGGATCAACTAACACAGAAGCTTGTAGCTTATCTAGGAACTAGATGCTGTACCCTGTACTTGAGTTTCCCCTTTGCTGCCTACATTTTTACCTACATTCTGCAATAGTATAGGGCAGGTAGCCTAGTCTGACATGAACATTTCAGTATCTGCAGACTCCCACTGGTCTGTGCCAAACCATTACAGGAAATTATCGTGATGCCCCTGGCTGCTCTTGGTGGATTTAGCAAATCTACTATTGGCCAGACTCCAGTCACATCATCTTGCTTGGTACTTTGAGATGGTTGGCTGGTGCGAGTTTCCAACTTCTATTGCAAAGAAAGGGAACCAGCTGTATTATCTCCTCAGACCACAGGCAGGAAATCCCATCTTGGGAAATCTCTTGCAACGGGCATGTTACTGAAGAAATTGAAGCAAAGAAAAACAGAACAACACATTTACTGTACTGTTTTCATAGTCAGAACCTAGCTAATTCTCCAGAATCCAGACTCAAAAGCCACTTCTCACCATTATAATAAAGAGTGGGTACATAGAAAAGAAACCCAGATGACAAAAACAACATTATTAAAAATATCTACGAAAATGTCGCTTCTTTTTCATATATGAGAATTCAACTCTGTGTTTGAAATATCAAGTCTACCACCTTAGCCAGTGTAAAGAGTGGTTAGGTATGACCTTTTTGCCATTCTAAGACTAGACGGCTGCTGTCTAACGCACATCCAATTTAACAAATTGATGAAGGTCTGTTATTAGAAATTCCTAGGCTCCCAGGAAATACAGAAGAGTTACAGAAGCAGAAGCGAACTACTCATGATTTAACCCTCTGCAAACTGACTCTGGAGGTAGCAAAGCTGAATGGTTTATCAGCCTATGTACATGAGCTTAAGTAGGTGAAAAACCCTGGCAGACCAGGCTGCTCCTATTTGCAGTGACATCAAGACATTAGCAAATGAATAACTTCTGAGGCAGACATGGTTTCCAAAGGATGGAAATGTATTTCATCTTTTGGAGACATTTTACTTTCCCATAGGACATGAATGTTATCTCTGTGTATGGCTCCCTTCGTTAACTCATAAATAGAAAGGAATTAGACATGGAGCCTAAGAGTGAGTGGGTAGTAATTAAAATTCAGGGCCTGATTGTATCTGAGTGACTCCTGTGGCTGAAATTCTATTCACAGCAAAATGTATGCGACTTGCCTCTTACATGTAAACGAACTTTATTATTTTTAAACTAAGTAGTAATACATTAGCTACTCCTGCCACCTAGTGGAAATTTAAAAATAATACTTATGCAGTAACTTATGCAGGGCCCTTCATAAACTACCACTCGTATTCAATTTACTTATGTATGCACTTGCCTAATGCATTTAGTTATGTTTCTTTTAAATACTGATACCACAAATTTATCCCTCAGCCTTGATATTTCCTAAACACATTGTGAATGCTAAACAGTTTAGAAATAACATTATACAGTAAGCCCCTGATACCAGGCTATGATATGGCAATGCTGTCATTAATGAAATAATATAATTAGTTTTAGTTCATCCACTTGCTTGGTAATTTATTCTAATATAAATGTATATGAAATAATTAAATAACCACATACTTAAATGAAATAAAATAATCGCATCCTCTTGTCTGGTACTCTGACCTTTGGCCATTTTGTAGATAGTTTTGTTCCAGCTAGAAATGCCATGTTTAGAGAAACTGGCTCATGTACTGGTTTCTCAATTTTATTTTCCTTCTCCTTTAACACAAGACTCCACTGAGCACAGCTGCCTAGTGGATGTCATTGAACTCTTTATTAGCTCGTGAAGGTGTCTCCTGAAACATCTGTCCAGCCTGCCTGCGATAGAGAGGCAGCTGCATGCCTCCTGGAGATCTGTGATTGGGACAGCTTGATTAACCAGCTGACCTCTTCTCTGCCCAAGAACTCTTGTTATCTCCTAGACAGAGATTCTCAGCAGCAACCCACTTGAACCCTACTGCCCATAAAAGTTCTGTTTACGTTCTTTCTACAATGAAATCCCCTGTAAATTTCTTCCATAGTTGGCTGTAGACGGCACTTTACCCCACTACTGATCTAATGTAGAGTTGGGTTATTTTAAAGTGATTATAAATCCATAAGTTGCTTGTATGTTCACAGCGCTCATTATCTTACAAGTTTTGTCACCTAAATTCTAGTAAATAAAATCAGCAACACTTCTTACTGAAGCAAAGTTAACACAAATGAAATTTTGTAGGAAATTACTCCTGAATTCTTACCATTTAAATAAAACACCAATTTAAATGCATACTTAAGGAGCAGTAAACTTTTTTGTTTTTTTACTGTGTTCTAAAAGAGAAACTTTTGTTTCTCAAACATCTAAGGAAATATTTCTCCTCTCCCTTTCTCCTCATACCTACTCCTATATCTGCCAGTTTGTCACAGGTTGGTTAAAGCAAAGAATATATATTATCAGTGCTGCTTCCTTTCGTAGGAACAACAGTTGATTCTGTTTAGATTCTAAACAATGCCAACAAGGAACAATAGCTCTATCTGGCTTATTTTAGCTCAGTTTTGATGCATTTATATAAATTTAGTTCACGTTATTACACTTTTCCACAAAGGTGTGAAAATAGGAAACATTTTTATAAAAGAAATGATGTGTGTGTGTGTGTGTGTGTGTATGTTTATGTGAGCATGCAAGCCTGAATACAGAGGTACACGTGCACACATGTGCACATTTGTGTGAAAACCAGATGTTATTGTTAGCTATTATCCTCAATCGATTTTTACCTTAGAGCCAGTGTTGCTCACTAAACCTAGAGCTCATGAGTTTGTCTATACCAGCCAGCCAGTGAGCGCCAAGGATCTCACTTCTCTGTGCCACAAAGCAAGTAGAGTGCACATGCAGGCTGCTGAGCTGGCTTTTTATGTGTGTCCTGGGGATCTGAGATCAGGTTCTCATGTTCACAAGGCTTTGCCCACTGAGCCAAGAAACTTAGATTTGAAAGAAAGGGGCTAATTTTCATTCCATTTGAAAATCATATACACAGTTTTTGGTACATCTTCATCTTGGAAGAGCTGGGTTAGTGTTTCCACTTAGCTGTGCAAATAGATAGTAAGTATGAGTGAGATAGGTAAAACAGGCCCAGACTTGGCACAGGCTGTCTCTCTTAATGTTTTTGGTCTTCAGAAACGGTCTCTAGGGAGGAAGAAATCAACTGCGTAGAGCCTAGGAATCTGAGATCTGAGTAAAATAACAGGCACACTGTATTTCTCCTCGCTTCCCACTAGAGACTCAGTTTTCTCAGTAGTGTTTTCCCAGATTTTCAAACACACACACACACACACACACACACACACACACACACACACAAACACTCAAGTACCTACTGTCTATATTATAAGAGAGCACAGGTAGTTTATGTTATTAACAGAAATATGCATTTAATATGCATTCATATGTTTTAAGTAGCCTAGTACACATTGGCTGTTAAAGGTCTATTTGTTGCGAATTAAAGTATAGTTTAGACAGGCGAGATGGCACACTGAGCAAAATACTAAGATTCAATGGCTTTGAGCACAGGTAAATCCCACTACACAGAGAGGCATTACAAGGGAAAGTACATAAGGCAGTAACGAGAGACTCTTAGAGACAAGGTTGACCAGTTGGCTGGTGACAAGTGGGGATGGAAATATGTACCACTGCTGAGATTCCCTGTAAAGTACGCTAGCTGGTAAAAATAAAGGCAATGAAGGGTTAGGCTTTTAGGATATAGATCCTTTCTCTTTCCAGAATGTCAGCTCTCCGTGAATAAAGCAGAGCTGAAAGATTGAACTTCAACCTCTGCTTACTGGCATTGGGTGACCAACAGCTCAAAGTCTAGTATTCTGGTACAGACTGACTGATTAGAACTTCATAAATACAGAAACCTGGAGTGTTGCAAATCTAGAGCTGAGTGGCATCAGGCTAACTTTAGTTCGCTTTGGCCTTTTATTGCTCACCTCTATCTGACCTAATAACTATTATCTATAATACTTTTATCATCTCCTTTTGAAGTCTAACATACTATTAGCTTTTGCCTATCCACAAGTTAAAAATACTATCAGAAACCATCTGAAACCTACAGGAAAGGCATCTCTGCTTTGGTGTATGACATCCACCAGACACTTCCAATGATGTATCTGAAAAATGTTTGAATTCTTACTTTTTAGTCTGTTAAAGGTCTATTTGTGGTGAATTAAAACTATAAAAACTTCATGAAACTGTTTCCATCCTGGAACATGTTATTTGGGACAACCTGAAACTGTCTTTTACTCCCCTAGATGAGAACTATGATCTTATGACTATTACTAAGAGTCTATATAGGCAAACGTACCAGGTGAGAATGAACATTAAGACTATACAATTAAAAACATCTTTGTCTAGTCAGAAATGAAATTGTAGGGAGACAGAGACAGTTTGATGCTGGCTTGATCTACATAGTGAGAACCTGTCTCAAAAAAAAATCCTAAAACAAAATAACTAATAAAATGACTTTTTTTTGGGGTTGGGGATACAGCTTACTAGTTGAGAACATGTCCAGTATTTTCAAGGGACTGGCATTCCCTTGGTCCTTTAAGTCCCCTAAGTTCCCATTGGTGGATAAAAAAAAAGAGTCAGAAATGAAAACAAAAAGACCTATTTAAGTTATTCTGGTGAAATCATTTCATTTTGACACAAAACGTATCAGAATAGAAGCTCTTTATGGTCCTGTCATCAGTGCACATCTTTGGGACATCTAATCAAGCTGATCAGAACAGAAGGAACAGACAGAGAGATAAAGAGGCTTGCAAAAACATACTTGCATGACACACCACATAAATAGATGTGAACATACCTATTAATAGCTTAGCATGTAAACAGCGCTAATGATTTGCTATGCGTCAACATCCCCTTACTCCCCAGAGCAGATGGCTTTTGGTTGGAGGAGTATAAGGTTAATGCTGGCAGACGTTAACTCCACTCAGCATTTCAAGAAAAGCCTGAGACATCCTGAGAATGAGAAAGAGAGAAAGTGAAGACTACAGGAGAATCTCAGACATGGCAAGTTTCAGAAAAGTTACTGGCTACCTTAACAAAGTTTCGGGCAGCAAAACTCAATGATTTACTTATTTATTTTTAATTATATTTGTGCGTGTATATGCACATGAGAACAGGTGTTTACAGATGCCAGAAAAATGGTCTCTTCCTGGAGCTAGTGTTACAGGTGGTTGTGAGTTCCACATGGGTGCTGGGAACCAAACTCAGGTCCTCTGAGAGAGTGCCATGAGCTCTTACTCACTGAGATACTCCTGAGGCATGTTTTCTTTCTGTCTTTTTCTCTCTGCCTCTTTCTTCTTTCCTTTTCATTCCTTTCCGTTCCTTTTTCTGTTTTGATTGTTTGGTTGTTTTGTCTTTCTTCCTTTTTATGGTGGTTTGAATGCATATATGTAAGAAGATTAAAGAAAATTAAAGTTCCCAAGACACCCATTGTTACCTCGGAAGGCACGAGGATGAAGGGAAGACTACGGTAAAAGAGGTATTAATTCAGGAGGTCACACACTGCCTTTGAGCTACTAAAAGCCCATTCACAAAACGGAATTTGTTTATGAGGTCTGTGCCAGTGAAACGTTCAAGTTATGCACTGAATAAGAATCTGCTTCGTGATCAAATGAAGAGATGAAGAGCCCGAGGCCAGGCTTCCGGTCACACGGTCACTCCTCGTGCACAGAGAGAAAGAATCAAGTACTTTACGTTCGGAAAACACAAGAGAACATAAACACAGGGCTAGGCTGCAGACACATACCTGAAAAGCGTTTGCACATTCACAATCGTTTTAGCATCCGCCATGTAATCTTCCTCTGCGCTCATGGTACTCTCTTTGTCCACAACCACCATGTTGGCAGCAAAGGTCACTCCACACCTGAGCAAGTCATCTAGGCTTTGATAAAAATCCACAAGGAAAAAACAAACAAACAAACAAACAAAAAAGAGATAGCTTTAAATAAAAAACACAACACTGCAATCAATGTGCAAATATGCTTGTTGGTGGGCTCACATACTTTGTCCTTATGGTTGAATTTATAGAGAACACAGACACTAAAGATGATTGTGATGCGATATGAACCAGTGTTACACAATTCGGAATCCCTCAGACACCAACTGTTCCAAAGAACCCATACTTGGTGTCTGGTGTTTAGTAACACTTGCCATGTAAACAGTAAAATAGAGAGTATGAAAACGATAGCACTTCCTTATTACAGTTAATGTGCTCCTTCCAGGACACGACATTACAATTGGCTCAAGTTTGTAAGGAGCTTTTTGTGGGCGTATAAGAGAGACTATACTAATTTAGACAGCAAAGCTATTGTTGAAGTGCAAAGGTATGTGATAAGTATTTTTAAATGTCTATATTTATTTATTTATGTAAGATCTATATAGTACAGATTGTCCCTGCACTACAAAGAGAGTATGATATATATATATATATATATATATATATATATATATATTATAACACACACATATGTATGTGTTTGTGTTAAATGCTAGCATAAAGCTAGGACAAGATTTCAGGAAAGGATTAAACAGCCCAAGTTTCTTTGTCTGCATGAGGTGACTAGAAAAATCTAGAGCACAAGTACTTTTTACCTATTCTAATCAGTTTTTGCTCCTATCTTTGTAAAATGTCTTGACTAACAGCTTCCTTGCAAATTAAAGGAAAGAGTGTTTACCACGGAGGGCAAAACTGGGCAACAGTTTCACTGTCTTTGCTTTGTATGGACAAAAAGCATAAAAAACCCTCCCCCTAAGAAAAACCAGGACAAAACCATGTAAGACTAAAATAGACCCAGTTTAAAAAAAAAAAAAAAGCATGTACTAGTAGGTACAGGGTTCCGTGGGTTCAGTAAACAAAGCTGAAAAGAAAATCAGTCCAGACCTCCTGATGCAAAATAGCAAAAGCAAAAATGTAAAAACCTACAGTCACTACTATTATTCATTGGAGTTGGTTTCCAGACATCTCTTAAAGCACATGACTAACTCACATAGCCATGTACCTCGTAGAGGTATTATTACTAAGGCCTCAGCCTATGACCTCCAGGAATAGTCCAGGGGAAAAAAAATACTGTGCTTGAATTTGGAGCTATTTTCTGTGACAGATTTTATAGCTAAAACAAACAAACAAACAAAAAAACAAAAGAAAAGAAAAAAGAAAGAAAGAAAGAAAAGAAAAGAATTTCAATTTCATCCCCAAAAAAATTCACCATGAGAAAACAGGCCAGAATCATAGCATCCAATGGACACAATTATCTTCAAGATTAAGATCCCTAGTATACTAGATTTTAGGTGCAGAAGATTCATTGCACTTCTTCTTGCAAACTATATTTTAGAAGGCATCAGGCAGGGACTGGGTGCCTAGGACACTGGTAACGTGCTTATCAGCATGCGTAATTGCTTCGTTCAAGAGCCACAGCATCACAGGAAAAGGTTGGAAAAAGCTGTGGTCACCTAGGGAGAATACGATGAACACTAAGTCCATCCATGTTGCTTCCAACCACCTGGGAATTTCAAGCTATTTCCTCATATCTCAGACTTCAAAAGCTTTTATCTCCATCAAAATCCTCTTAGAATTTTATAGGAGAAGAAAAATAGGAACTTGTATGTCAGTTTTGCTCGGTGAAAGCATAAATAACTTCACAAAACGATGCTAATGCTGGACAAATTTCCCTAAGTGCTCTAAGTTTCTTGAATCCACCTCCTCTTAGGTGCACCCCTGATTCCAACTTTACTGTATTCCCTGTTGTAGTACTCAGGACCTTGAATTATTACTAAAATATGTGTTAGAATTTATTGGTAATACACATGATTGGGATGGTGTTAATGAAACATATAGAATCTTTATGTTCTCCAAGCTTTATGTTTCCTATTTAACACGATAGCTTTTTCAAGGAGGTTATGAACTCATTTTCATGACTCCAGCCTATCTTTTCTCCTCTCTGCTACTTCTGTATTTTGTATCTTTTTTCTTAAAGCGTGCTTGTGTTATAGAGTTCAGCCACCAGATGGCGGCTAAGGAAAATCAATGGGAGAGAAAGAAACAAAACCAAACAAAACCAAACAAAACCAAAAGTTGCCCTAACCAGGGATGCCTTTTTTCTCCCTTCCATGACTCAGTTTTTTTTTTTTTTTAATATGTACTAGAATGTGAAATTGACAAGTGTAAGGAAGTATTCTTGTTCCAAAAAGGTTTTACTTCTCATGAAAAATTTCAAATAAGGCAAACAAGAATTATACAGGGACATGCCATATATAATTCCCTCTCTGATATTAATATATACACGTGCACATAGATATGGTGACCCAACTTCAATATGTATTTGTTTATAATCAATCAATTATAGTTCATCTCCTCTTTGGGAGTTTTGTTCTATAAGTCTCTCTCTCTTTTTTTTTTTTATTTTTTTGATCGCCATAAATATTTTACTGTAGCATTTCATGTTAATTGTCTGATGAGAACTTACGTTTTCTGATTAGTGGTGTTCATATAATTTTACATTTTATTTACTGCACTACATAATTACATGCGTGACATAGTATTTCAATTAACAAATGATATAATTATAAGTTATATTTATAATTCCAAGTTATGGCAATGCGGCAATGGCATTGCAATGCGGAATTTTAAAAAGTACTTTTTGATGCCACTGTAGTGAAGACACTACTGCAGAAAAAAAAATTGCTGCTTTTGCAAGAGCCACCAGACTAAAAGAACGCTCTGCAAATGGTGTGCACCTGTCCAACTTGCCATGCAGCAAGGTCTACTGCAATTCAGCAATGAATTACGGCCTTAGGCAGTATGGTAGGAGATGCACAGCAGGGAGACATGAGCTCTGCATGCATGGGTCACCATATCCACTGTTATCAACACGACAAAGTACACTCATCATGCGGGAACAAGACACAGCACTTGACAGACCACAGGACTAGACCACACTAGTCATGTGCCATAGACGTTGTCACCTACTTGTCAATAGAGCCCACCATGTAGTAAACCATTGGGAACCAACAGATTGCATCCAGAAAATGCATATCTGGCCTATGTAGCAGATGGGTTACAAAATGAAACACAGTGTCACAACACAGGCAGCACTTCTAGGGAAGGGAAGCAAGTTCATTTAGTTTGCATTTCCAAAACCAAAGACAAGATACATTCTAACTTGCTCTTTCGCTTTCAGAATATATTTTGCACTTTTCATGAAACATATGACACACCAAGAACTTTGAATTATAAATCAGAGACATTATGGTATAGTTCTACAAAACCCTTCAGCATCACTCCAGGTTAGGACTAAATGTTCACCGATTAGTTCAGTTACCCAGTGCAGAAGAGGATGAGAACAACAAAGACAAACTGTTTTTATTTTCCTCTTTTGACCTCAAGGGCTACAAATGCCTCTACAGAGTAACCAGTAAGCTTGAGTATCAAGAGAGCATTGTCTAAGGAATGTATATAATCACAGCACACTTGCTCAGTATCTCAATGTGTCAGCTAAAGGAAAACTGTTACATTGACACTGCTTCACCTTTAAATGTTCTGTCTTATCCAATGTAGGCCATTGGACAAGTGCCCATTACAACTGAAATCTGTACTTCTCAGAACAGCAAAGAAAAGAACCATAACTTCCAGCTTGAACTCAAAAAACTACACCCACTTAATAACTTCTAATTCATACATGTGTTCACTCAGCATATACAGACCCAAACTTCATTCAGTGAGCAATGAAATGTACTCTTTTATATTTAAAAACCGTGGCCAATTATTTTATAAGATATGTAGAGTTTTAAATGAGTATACAAAATCATGAAAATGCAATACATTTTATTCTTAAAATTAAACAAAACAAAACACTAAGTGCACCCAGGAGGCAGAACAGGAGAATATTACAGAGAGGTAATATTTACTCTGTGTGTTGACAGATGAGTGGGAATTTGGCAAGTACAAAGGGAAATTCTAGGTCAAGGTAATGAGAGAGCACTAGCGATTTCACAGATGCTGATCCCCAGTTGGACCAGTTCATTTCCTAACTATTTTCTTCCCGTTGATTTCCCTCCTATCTCTTTAAACCCTAAAGAAAAAGAAAGTTCAGTAATGATGATACTGTTAAGATTTTAGCTAGATTCCTTCCTCCACTGAATTAATTGGTAATATTGAGTGGACCAGCAGCTTTACATTGGTTTAAACTGCATAACTGGATTTGAAAATACTGAATTACTTAACCCATAAATCATATTCGTTTGTTTCATGTATAACTTAGGCATCCACACCTTCAGATGCTTTTGGGCATCAGTTTTATCAAGATCCCATGCAACCACAGAGCGGATGCTGTTGTCAGACTTTCGCCATCCTTAAAGCTCTTGACATATGCCGTTTTCATTCAATATTCTAATATATATACTTGTGGGATTTTAGGATAGAGATTTCAATTCTGTTTCTAGGCACTTCATTGCTTCTAACATTAGCAGAGCAATGCTTTAGGGATCTCAATAAACGTCACAGTTTTAGAAGCATGCGTAAGGATGCAAGCACCAATAGCAGTGAAAGACCAAGGTGCTTGGGGTCTGAAAAATGTTTTTGGTTGCATAGTTTGGGCTAATTGTATAATACGAGCCCCTCCGTTTCTGCCTTTTTAAGTACCATTCTTAATTATTAATTGTAGATATGCACATGTGTTATAATGGTATCTATTTCAATTTGCAATATTTTTATAGGTTCAGATCATTACAATTTATTTACACTATCCCTTTGTGCAATTTTTCCCACTGAATCTACGCTTTTCGGAACTATTGCATAACTTAACCATTAAATTCAATAAGAGTCTTCAAGTTTTCTGAGTAATAAAGTGTTCTCAGGTCTTAAGCTGTAGTTGCCCACATGTGAGATTTAAAATTCAAGATGAGACCATCGTAGATTTTTCCCCCTTCTTTGAAAGGTAGAGAAAGCAAACTTTGTTTGAAGAAAATTATTTTAAAAGAAAACTCAGGAATTTTATTCCTAGTGTATGTACAACATGTATTTAGAAATGAGCCTGAAACCTTCCACATTCTTAGAACTTGCTTTTAAATAAGGATTACACTATTCATCTTCATGTGATTGCAACATCAACGTATGTCTAGTACCCTTAACTTTGTAAATACATATACCTGAGAAACACACTAGCTTTAAAAGCTCCTGTATGATTTAAAAGAAGCTAGATATATAAAGAAATAATTTCGCGTTCAGATATTTTGTAAATGTTCATTCATCTGAGTTGACAACAGTAGTTACAACTCCAGGCTACTTAATATTTGAATAAGACATAATTGGTCAATTTTACTTCTCATTGGGAGACAGTGAATTGGCAAGCACAACTTTCCACTGAGAAGCAGTATTATTGAGAAACTAAACAAACTCATAGAACATTCATTACAAATATGTCCCTTGTCTCTTTTTTTTTATGGTATGTTCTCAAAGTACAGTGAAAAGCTTAATATACAAGAAAATTATTAATAGAAGTAAATACAATGTGAATTTTTCTCCTGGCTTTCAAATAGAGAAGCCTATCTGTTCTGTGAGAAATGGCATTAAAGAAACATGGTGAAGAGCATCAAGTGACTTATCTACAAATGTCACAAAAACTTAACCATGTAAAACTTACTATTTGTACAAAATAGATGAATCAAGATTTTACACGTGAAGAAATGATTTAGTTATTTTTTTAATCTAAAAGACATTGAAAAATATGTCAAGGAAATAGATATAGATCAGAATAAATTCATAGACCAAAGCCAAACAAAGCAGACAAATTAACCAGTTATAAATGAAAAAATGTTTTCAGGAGTTGGCGGTACACGCCTTTAATCACAGCACTCGGGAGGCAGAGGTAGGTGGATCTCTGTGATTTCGAGGCAAGCCTCATCTAGAGTTCCAAGACAGGCTCCAAAGCTACAGAGAACCCCTGTCTCAAAAATAAATAAATAAATAACAAAACAACCAGAAAAAGAAAAAAAAAGTCGAAAAATATACAAAGCCGCCAATGTTAATAAGTAAAAGTAAACAAACACATTAGTTAGTTACAGCTCTAACTGTAGAGTCTACAGAGAACACTGACAGTGAATATGAAGACTCATATACTCATAAATCTCTCACAACAACCCTGTTTGTATATTAATATAAGTAGCTCAACACTGCCAGACAGTGAAGAGTTTCATAAACTTCACCGATTTGCAAAACTCCAGAGCACATTTTCTGTTCAATTAAATTAATACACACAATATTTCCACTTCAACATCAAGGAAAGAAAGTAATATATCTTTGCGGGCAAAGTTTATCTCTTCAACGTTTTATGGCTGTACTTTTAGGCAGTCAATTTATCTTTTAAATTGTTTGATCAAGGGCTGCAGAGATGGCTCAGCACTTAAGAACAGTGGCAGCTCTACCAGAGGACCTGAATGATTCCCAACACCCTTAGGGCAGCTCAAAACTCCATTTCTTTAGTTCCAGGGAATCAAACCCCCTCGTCCCTGCTTTGTAGGATCCAGTCAGGCAAGCATTGCACAGAAATGCATGTAGGCAAAACATTTGTATACCTATAATTTTTAAAAATGATAAGCTTAGTTGCAAGTGCTTAAAAATCAATGTGTACATCTGTGTGTCTTGCTAGTGCTCAAAGCTAGGGTCTTCACATGCTAGGCAAGCACTTTTCCACTGAACCAAATCTCTAGACTGTGTTTTCTTATCAGCTGGGTATTTAGATAAGACTTTTCATTAATTTAAATAGTAACAATGTTTAATTTTAATAGGAGAAGATATTTTTTAGCATTTCCAAGCTGTCACATATGTCAGATTTTGCCTGTATATATACAAGCAAATCTCTGTCTGGGAATAACTTAAATTTTCATTTTCAAACTAAAGAAAAAAATGAGAAGAGACCACAAGAATAAACATGGTCCAGGCTGTTCTAGAAGTTAAGCTTGGATCTCACCTTGTCTGTCTGCAACAAAATTGTATATTTCTATAGGATAAGGGGGGGTGATTTATCATATATTTTAGCGATAATTTGTAAATAAGCTGATGTGTTTAGATACTCTATACAAAGAGGTTGATTGATTTAACAAGTGATCAGTGTGAAAATTAATTCCATCAACGTGTATATGCGACATATTCTTCTTTTGTTCAAGTCAGGGGTTCTCTGTGTAGACTTGCTCTGTAGACCAGGCTGACCTCGAACTCACAGACATCCGCCTGGCTCTGCCTCCCTTGCACTGGGATTAAAGGCGTGCGCCACCACTGTCTGGCACCCCCTTCTTATCTGATCTGGCACTCGTTGTCTAACTTTGGGTATTCCCATCTTTGACTTCCAGCTACATTCAAGCTTAAATGGCCTTTAAAGTAAAGGGCATAACAAAAACTTCTGAGATCTTTCAAGTACCGCACACCAAGAGGAACAGATGGAGACCCAATCAGAGCTGACATCACTGTGATGAACTGTGGACAGGTCAGAGTTGCTCTGGTAAGCCACAGAATGGATGATTTCAATGTGCCAGACTGTCATTAGCTAACCACTGAATGCGCAGGACTTTCCGTTGAGCATCTATTTCATACCACCATGCATCGACAGTATTAACTGCATTTATAGTTTAGTGCTTCACACTGATGGCACTTCTGTTTTTACATGGAATTGATTTTGTATTTTTGGTTAATTTTTCTCATCCATGTGATATTTGCTTCACCAACTGCTTTTTTTTTTAAAAAAAAATTGGTCAACCCCCCCAATTAAGTAATATTTGCCAAAGCATAACCAGTCATGATTGCAAAAGTTATGGGAGCATGGATCTATTTTGTAAGTAGAATAGCATCATTCTATGTAATTTTGTACACTAAATTGCAGAACAGAAGTCATTTCAGAGCAACAGGTGTTTCATTGTTTCGAAAGGGGAGTGCAGATTGCACAGACTCCCAGGAGGATTGTGATTCCTCGTTCTTCATCAAAGGAATGAAGACAAGTAAAAATGTTAGGCACGACTTTTGAGACGTGCACAGGAAGCTAAGGTTTTATATCACGCCCTTGGAATTTAGTAAATAAGTTGAAATGATCATAATATGTGGTGTATGCTAACAAATAAATAGTCACATTAAACATAAATAAAATTATGATCAGCAGAAACCAGCAAGCAACAGCACCATGTGGAAATTTATAATTCAGACTGTCAGCAATTGGTGAAGGTGGGATGTTTTCAGTGGGGAAATATTGGAAGTTAAGCTAGATTTTTGCCTATTAAACTAACTGAAAACAATACATATTGTTCATACATCGGTAACAAAACCTGTAAGTTAGGGTAAGCTGCAGAGGAACGGACAGACAATGAATTAGTTCTTGCATAGCTGGACCATGGGAGATTTACCTGGGTGCCAATACATCTTTAGCTCTGCTCCTTAACATCCATAACAAAAATTCACTCAAAAGTTCAAATTAAATGAAAGCATTGAGACTGCCAACTCACTGCATACATCTCTCTGGTGCCACGATTTCTACCTAATATGAATGCACAGAACGTAAAATAAAAGTACAATGTTGAATATTCAGCATTCACTATTATTGTAAGCCATGAGCACACCAACTTTTTAAATTAGTCTTCATGGTTTCATTCATGAAAGATAGCACCAAAAGGCCATATTCACACAGAAATAGAAAACTTAAAGAGAAGTAGTGAACTGCCAGTAACCCAGAGAAGGGTGTTTTCAGGTGTTTTGAGTGATTAATCACGTCCAGGAAGAAAGGCTATACTAAGAAGCATATAGTCCTGATGAATGAACCAATACTCTAGGAATCAGAAATGCTAGAGACATTTTATTCAAAATAAGATAAAATGCAATGGGTTGGGCCATGTTTGATATGCTAATGAGATAAAGGGAAATGAATGGGCGTGCTTCATAGGACTGGAGACTGAAAATGAAAAGTATATCTCTATTTCGTAAGTAGAGCAACATTTCTATATTTGGAGATACTTTCAGGGCGGTTAGGGAAGAATTATGTATCGGGAAACCAAATTTTATACTGAAATAACACAAGGAAGAGATCAGTCCGGCAGGGGCACTGCCAGAGGGTGTTTGGAACACAGTTCCATCTCTTCCTTTAGATGGTTCTTCCTTCTTTATTTCTATAACTGGAGAGGCTTGAAATGAGTCAGCTTGATCTATTCGCCCACAATGGCCACACTGTAACAGTCTGAAATGCCCATTTTAAATTCTGTTTGCAGTGTTATGAGGGCATCTCTCATAGAAAAACAGACCGAAACTGAGCATTTTACTTAGTCAATGGAAGTGTCAGTCCAACTTAGTAGCCCTGAAGCTTTCCCGCAGAGAACCTCCAGAATCCAGAGTGTACTGAAAGGACTAGGGACGAGCTTAGCAATATTTCCATTGTTATGGTCATCCTACACAGATTGTCACACTCCTGGGGTTTGATTTCATACGCTTTATTATCTCCTAACACTGTATTCCTGACGACCAGTTTATTTACAATTACAGTGAGGGGCACTCACTGTAACTTTAAAATAAAATGGTTTTGACCTTTTTATTCAGGGGCCCATTTATTCATTCATAGTAGAACTTGCAAAATACGCTAAGGAGTCATATTTAACAAAGCAAACCAACCTGAAAGTTACCAGACATACACATGGGATACAGCACAACTTGTTTCTTATTATCGTATATGAATATTAGCATAAGCAAAACACACAATGATATCCCATAATATAAAGACAGAAAATAAATGCTTCTCCGATAATAGATTGCTAAAGCACAAAACTACAATTTTGGCAGGTGTGTTCCTGGCTTATTGAGGAAATTGAGGAAATTTGCAGTAGGTATTTCAGTGGTTTGTTTCCACTGGTCCGTATGAGTAGATAACCATTTGTATATTAATTTCAAATAAAAGTTTCCATCGCAATGGTATTAAACTAGTATTGGTGAAACATGGTCATAATCAATAATGTTTTGCATCATAGCGTATTCCCTATTTCCCATTGACTTCTGCACCATAATGTATCTGATTTAAAGCAGCATCAGTAAATTTAAATAAATTACTTTAATGTACAGTAAAATCAAAAGCTCTGTCTGTGTATCTTAAAATATACTTACGGGTTATCCAATAGGAGAACTATGGGATTTAATTCTTTCTTTGGTCTATAATATGCCCTGAGAGGTACAATAAAATTATATAATCCATTTCCAGCTGTTTCAGCTGCAACTATAATTAGTTTATTTTTGAATCCATAGGCTTTTGCGTCCTCATAGTAGTTATGCTGGCAACTCTAGAGAAGAAAAATTATACAAAGAAACGCCATTTTTATACTCCACTAAAATTTGGTCAAAGAATTTAGGATATATGGTTATGTAAAATTCATCTAACTTTTTTTTTTTAACAGATTGGAACATAGTTACATTTGTCCTTGCCTAGTTCTCCAACTTTATGTAGGGGATGAAAGTGTGTTGAATAATGAAAAGGAGAGGTAAGCATACAACTTTATGTGGAAAGAGGACTACATACGCACTGGTTGCACTGCAAGTTAGAAGTTGTTTCTGTATAGTAGCCACTCAGTATCTGTCTTGCTATACATAGATATGTGACTTCCATTTTCAAAATATATTGATGTTATGATAAAAAATCCCAAGGGATATTCCCATCCCTAGGCACCTATAGTCATGCAATAAAAAAGAAAATAAAACAAGAAAAGAGGGAAGGACCCTGAGCTGTTAAGTGCAAGTCAGGGTCAAAGTGCAAAAAACAATACGGGTGAAACAAAGCACAACGCTTGATCAGAACTCATCCCAGAGCTGGAAAGAGCACAAAACTGTTGGGAAATGGACTTGATTTCTGAGAGGTTAGACTCAGAAGAAATTAATTAACATTACTAAACCAAGACCGCTTTCAGCTAAATTGCCTGTGTACTTAAAGGCTTTAATAGTTGCTTTTTCTTCACCATTGTATGTCTCTACCAAACTTCTTATTAACCTGGGTTAATATTACTTAGCCCTCTTCATGTTCCTTACCTATGAACTATCTGTGACATTATTCTTTAATAAACTTGTTTTTAAAACGGTGAAAACGAAGTGCCGTGTGCGAATAAAAATGATAAAAATTACAGATTTTGATGTCAAGACAGTCACAAAATAATGGGCAGAATGTTTAAAGAAATAAGAAAAAACACTTAAAGAATTAACAAAATCCTATTTAATACTCAAGAGAGTTGCTTAAATAAATTATATTTATTTTTACATATCCTCTCAATATGTATCCTCTCAATATGCAGTGTAACCAAAAGTTATTAGAGCTGAGGAAAGGTCAGCGAGAAAACACATTCTCAGCACATTTGAACCACTAGGCTGTGTCCAATAGTGAAAAAGAAAAAATAAAATCACTTATTCAATGCAGCTGAAGGAATCAGTTGCAGAACAGAGATGAAATAGCATCCCAATTGCAAAAAAAAAAAAAAAAAAAAAAAAAAAAAAAAAAAGAGGGGGGGACAAAACCTGAAATAGAAATCACAATCAGAAAGAAGCCTTATAATATAATATAATATAATAAACATTGATGGAAGATTTTCTAGAAGTGACTAAGCCACAAAGCCTCATAAAAGTGAATCCTAATCCAAACAAACAAAACCACATAGTTCTACACTTTATGGTGAAGGCATAGACCAGCAAAACCATGGAGAAGGAGGGATTAGCTACAACGGATAACAATAAGAATGACAGAGGCATTGAAGAAAGAAACTACTGTGGATGTGGGATGTGGAAACCAAGCAAACCATCCTTCCACGATGAAGGTAAAAGGCATCCAAGGGAAGACACAATGGGAAAATTGTCAACTACCAAATCTCACTTGCAAAAATTCCAAAGGCTGAAAGTGAGGCCATAGGAAGATGATCTAGAAAAGCAGAAGAAAACCGTCTAAAGGAAGAGAATAGTAAAAGAAGAAAAACAAAAAACAAAACAAAACATAAAGCCAGGGCAGCAAGTCTTTGTAGGGTGCAGGCTGGAGAAATTTTTGGTTCTGATATTCAGGGTCTACAGCCATATAAAGAAATCAATAAGGCCATTAAGAAAGGGGTTGGAGAGTACCGATGGGTGAAGGATTAGAAGAGTCAGTACTGCCACACCCATGAAACATCACAGGTAAGAGAACTACATTGCTCATGAAGCCATGGGAGAGACACTGTCCTTGAGAAAATCCAAGGACAGTGCAGAAACACCTTGGCCAGAACAGTCAGTTGGCACTGAGATAGAGTGATAATGTCATCCCAAGTCCACACACTTCACAGACACAAGGGAACCAACTGATTACCACAATCCCATAATCCCAACATCAACTTCCATTTTCAGAGCAGATCCTATAATACCAGCCTAATGTTACTCAAATAACCAATAATCTCCTTTATAGCTATGAAGCAATAAAATGACATCTTTTCTTGTATTAATGTAGCAAAAGGTTGTTAATAAACTGCTTTTAAGGGGTCCTCTACAGGGTCTCCGACCCTCTTCTTTGACAGCTGAGCATGCCAGTGAGAATTAGATTAGTTTCTTGGGGATAATTCACTTTTAATCTTTTGGTTTCCTGATGCCCCTCACACAACTCTGTGTGTGTGTGTGTGTGTGTGTGTGTGTGTGTGTGCACGTATACATACATACATATATGTATGTATGTATGTATATGTATGTATATATATTGTCACTAATAATGAGTCCAGGCAGAGTGATCCCTAAATATTTGTTAAGAACCTTCTTGAAGGAGAATGTCAAAAGTACTCTAGTAGAAAAGAACATAGCTTAGGAAAATGTACCTGTGGAAAGAGTTCAGACAGGCGAATACCACTGAAACTTGACATCTGTTGATTTAGCAACACAACAAAGCTGATCAGTGGTAATAAATGCTTCAAATAATAAGGCCCTGAGAAGTGAGAGTCCTGATGAAAATGAAGGACATGGGATACCCAGGAGCAAGGGAAGGATGCACAGGCCAACGTCGGATAAATGAAGTCTTTTCTTTTTCAATTTTCTTCAAGAGCAGCAACAGACAAGACTTGTAACAAAGAAAGCAGCAAGAATATTAACTAAATGAATGGAAACCTGACTCAATAATTAACTGCCTTGAGTTCAAAGTACTAATACAATCTTTGTAGGGACACAATCGAGCTCATGGCATTAACATTATGATCATTTTGCAGATAAGGGAGCTGGAGTCTATTTGTGAAGTGATTTTCTTGAGATGTACAGGCTATGAAAATGTGCTGGCATTATCATTTTAACCCCAAATAAAGAATAAAGGAAGAAATCCCTGTTTCGGATACAAGGCATGCTTGAATCTCATTAAGGTCTTTAATGGTCCACTTTAACCTCTTTCCTTAATATTTAGGAGGATAAATCAAAGAGAAAGACAAAAATGATGACATTCTCAGACTGTTCTGTTTTGAGTAAATTCTTTAAAGCATTCAGGAAGGATGAAAGAACTATATAAAAAAATTGGGAAGGAAATATGAAACAAGATACACAGATCAGCTTCACACAGTCATAAATGCACTTGTCTAATTTAGTCAAGAGGTATTTTTAAAAATACAGATTTAATATGTTCAACAAAGATTTCAATTAAATAATAAACAAAAAAGGGGTTTGAAAGTTTTGTTTCTCTGTCTTCCCTTAAAAAAAAAAAAAAACTGACTAATGAAGTTGCCTAATTAAGCATTTATGTGATTTTTAGTGAGGATTATGATCAAGCTTATATGTTAACTAATACACTTTTAGTATATTTTTGTAAAATTACATAAAATTATTTAAACATGTTCAATAGTTCATGCTATAATTTTATTATTGGAGACAGTAACATCAACAGGAAGCCGTTACCTTGTCTAATCTTAAGCAGCAGAAGGGCACTTTTTCTTGAAGTAGGTGACAAAAAGTAGGAGAACTTCCTATGTAAGGAGAGTAAGGTGGGTAGCCCTTGGCATACCTGGAAAGCAATATGAGATGTTACTCCCAGAGAAGCCGTGGAAAGGTGGAACCCTCAAATATAACCCTTATTACCTTAGAACTAATCTGATTACATTAGAGTTAGTAAGTCTACACTTCCACCGCATTATAAAATCACATAATTTAGGAAATATGAACAAAATTATGATCAAACGTGGTTCATTATAAAGTTTTGAGACCTATATTTTTAAGCAGTTGAAAAAATATTTCCTGTCATGTGAAAATTACACGGAGTTTGAATTCTTCATTCATGAAGTCAGCAACATACTGGTATTTCACATTCATGTTCAACTGTGTAATGAGGAATTTGTGTTTGATTCAGCTAGAGAAATGAGTAACTGCAACAAGAAACGTAAATATGTGATAGTTGTTTCTTTGTAGAAAACATTTTTCAATCCTGGGAGACATAAGCATTGATCTACAACAAATAGTAAAATTATGCCTTACAAAGTGCATTTAAAGCAGAGTGCATTATAATGGTTTGCTGTGATTAGCCACATACACACAGACATAATTAAAGGAAAAAAAAGTAAGTTAATTTGGCAAAAAACAGGTTTTTTTTTTCTCCTGGAATTGGCCTTAAAATATTATCAAAGACATTTAGTTTGTTTACTGACTTTTAAAAACAGCCACCTGCACATTTTGGCTACACCAGTGTAGAACATAGAACTTCTAAAGGGCAGACGCATAAATGTTAATTAACAAATAAAAGGAAATTACTCAAAACAATTATTTTCTCATCCACAAGGGAAGCTCTCGATTTTTGATCATTTTTCCTGTGACACCAGGAAGTTAAGGACTTGTTGAGACTATTTTCTAGACACTATTGGTTAATAGGTAAAATTGAGTAAAATCACCAATGCAAACTTCAAAATGGACATGAATAAAAGAAATTAAAGATAGACGTGCTATATAATGAAACACAACATTGAAAATGCAATTAACATTATGCAGAAACAAAATTGAATATTTTCAAAGGTAATTTAGAAAAAGAAAACAGGGCTGCAAGTATACACTGAAGGTAGAAAATTGATGCTTTATAATACTCTGTGATGAGAAAATGCTTAATAGAAGAGTGACTTAGTAGAACTATGGAGTAATGATAACAGGTTATCCAGAAGGAAAAGGTATTATCTCCTTGTGTGATTTTAAGGTTCTGGAAGATGTAAGCCCCAGTTCTATAAGAACTATAGGCAATTAATTGCACGAGGATGAGTCTACTGGATAGATTATCCAATCCCAAGAGGTCAGGTATAAACACATAGATATATAAGCAATACCCCAAGAGGTCAGGTATAAACACATAAGCGATACTTTGGAGACTGTGTGTGTGTGTATATAATTATATATGTAAAATAACTGTTAATGACGTAGGGGCATATGAGAAGAGTTGGAGAATGAAGGTTGAAATGGAAACCATGTGAACAATGTATCCATGTAGGATATTCTCAAAAAAATAAATTAAAAAGTGTTAGTTGAAAAAGAAAAAAGAAAGAAAGTAAACCTTAGAAAATCAAGCCTACTCTAAATTTGAAGAAGTTTCTTCATCTGGTGTAGTTTCATCTTCTGATTGATCACTTAGAAGATCACATGTCTGAATTGATGACGAATCTGCAACCTCTAAAACAGGAGCAATACTAGGTCTTCTTAATTCTTTGCTTCCTTCTGAAGGAAGAGCCAGTGTAGGGCCACTTGCTGCTCTACAACTTGTGTCTTGTAAGTCTATAGCTACAGTACCTAAAAAATGAAACAAGAAAACGCATTAGGATGTTTCTAGTACCTGTGACATAATGAAATGCAATCACACTATTAAGCCTGTGTGTGTGTGTGTGTGTGTGTGTGTGTGTGTATCTATCTGACTAATCGCTCTTGAATCTCACTACAATTTTGTTCTTTGTCAGGCAAACATTTCATTTCCCCGGGTAAGAAATCGTGTATGCATACATGTATGTCACAACTTACATGTGGGGTTAGCCAGACATAGTAACACACACTTCTAATCCCAACAGTCAGGAAGCATAAGCAGGTTGGTCTCTGTGAGTTCAAGAGCAGTCTTGTAAGTTTCATAGGAACCCAATGAGACCCTGTTTCGAGAAAATTATTTGTAACAGATGTAATTTCAGGTGGTGTGAGCTTGGATATGAGTGTGGCGATACGAGAGGAAGTGAGGACTTTAAGAGGTTTGGTTTCCTGTGAAGAAGTCCTCGTAGGAGGTCCAGCATTGAGTCACTGCAGTGTATGAGCAAAAATAATGGTGGTGGTTACTAAGTTCACTCTGGAAAGAAGCTCCTAAGACAACTCTATTGGGAAAGAAGGACGGTTTTCTAGAATAAACGAAAGGGTTTATTATTATTATTATTATTTGCTTGCTTGGTTGTTTTTAAGGCGTTGACATTTTGTAAAATTGATTTATTGATGTAAAGGAGGGATATCTGGTATACTATTATCTTAAAGTTGTGGAAGTGAGTGCATATCTACTACATTTACCCCACTGATGATCATAGTCTCCTAGTACTTCCTAACAAACAACCAAACAAAAAATATGGCATGCCAGGATTATTTCTTAGGACTGTCAAAAGCACATTGAGACATGCCTCCCTCCCAACATAAGCACTCATCAACCCCCCCAGCCCTTATTACCAATTAGAAGATAATACACATATCTCTCTTCATAGGAAGCTGCTCAAGCATTGCATGTTAGATCCTTTCTCACTTTCAAATGAAAGGATATTTACATGACCTCCTTGCCAAATACATCTGACTGCACATCACCTTCAGAAACCTAGTTGTTTTCTTTTTGCTCCGTTTTGTCTATTGTCTGTTTTCCTGCTAATACTGACATCTTCCAGTACTCTGAGCCCAGAGAAAGAGCATGAGAAATATACAATCCATCAGAAATCTGAAAAAAGCAGTTAGATCTGTAAAAACAACACTTTCCAACATCTTACATCTTTTCTTACAAATGTTCTGATCTTTTTTTGAGGTGTTTTCCTCTACCCTAAAGAAAGTACCTATTTTTTGAGGCGGGAAAAATTATTTATTTTTGTCATTGGCCATTTGCTTTATCTTCTGTGGGGAAAAAAAAACATTTTAGGATCATAGGTCTTCATATTGCAGGACCTTCTGTATTTTATTTGCTCATCAGCTTTCTTTTATTCTATTTTTCTACATGAATCTCATGTAGAGATTCATGGCTGGCTGCCAAAAACATCCATAAAAACATGGAGTGATCTAGAAGCCATGACTGAGATTAATTTCTCATGGTTCCAAAGGATAGAGTTTCAGAATAAAGGTCTTCACATTGTTATGAAGGATGGTGAGGGATAGTTTTGTTCCAGGTGTCATTCCTGGTTTGATGATTGACACCTCCTTAATCTTTTCACATCAGTTTCCTGTATGCATGTCTCTGTTGTAGTTATTCTTCCTGTCAGCTCACTAGTCATCTGTTATGTGGTAATAAAACCCTAATGATCCCATTTCAATTTGACTTCTTAAAAGAAAAAAAAAAGTATCTCCAAATAAAGTTACATACTATGGCACCAGGGTAGGCTAGGATTTCAATATATGAGAGGATGATAATTACAAATTTTGCATAGCATTATCAATAAAATTCCTGCACCTTTACATCTGATTTCCTTTAGGTAACTGAGGTTTATTGGTCATCTTATTTTTGGACATTTCTTATTTTTTTTTTTATCTTTTTTTTTAAATGTGTGTACATGTCTACACATGTGTGTGAATGTGCATGCATATTTCTGTGTGTACATACACATAATACATGTGGGTGCACATAACAAGTACATAAATATATGAGGAGGCTAGATTTACAACTTCCTGTCCCTCAATAGTTACCTACCTTGCTTTTGGGGACAGGGTCTCTCACTTGGTTAAGCTCAACTTTAAGGGCAAGCAAGCTGTCCGGACAGTGACCCTGGAATTTAATTGACTCTGCCACTTTAGGACTGGGATTACAAGTGTGTGTTAGCAAGTTCAGCTTTTTCATGTAGATTCTTGAGATCAAATTTAAGTCCTCATGTTTATGTGGCAAGATTTTACTCACTTACCTATCTCACAACTCCTCAATGCTTTGCTTTCACTTAGATGTTACCACAACTAATAACAATGCTTATTGAATTTATTTCACACATTCAACCTGTGACTGGTATTATTTTGTAACTTTCTTTCTGTAATCACTCTTCACAAAAGCCTTGGCTTGAAACCACTGAAAATTCAATTCAGTAATAAAACTGCAGTCTCGGGTAAAGACAGACAGAAGGGGGCTTGCAATTTGAATCAACAACAGAGGCCAACAATTTTGAGGCATCTGCAGAGGAGTAAAATTATAATGTTCAAGACCATACGTGTATGTACTGTTTTGGATGTATACGGCAGGGCATAGAAATAGCAGCCTGTGATTTAGGAGAGTGATAAAGAATAATAAAGATAAATCAAATTCAAGTTAAATACCCCAAGAGGAAGAAAAGAGGGGGCTCTTTGAGCAAATGAAGACAAGGGAATTGCATAAATTACATATATTCCTTAATGACAGGGATTATACACATAGATTTGCAGGTAGTTTAGTGGAAAAAATTAATGAATATCATATTAACTAGATGTATACTATTTCATTTTTTTGTGTGTCATGAATACCAAAATAAATAATGAGACTAAGACAGAGTGAGAAAATTTGGAAAGAACAGAATACTCTCAATGGGCTATCGCGCAAATAATTAAAAGAAAAGCATACAAGGTAAGCACTTAAAATCAGAAACACAAATTAATTATGGAATAATTTTTGGTAATTTTGCATTGTTCTTACACAAATGGTTTAGAAATTTTGTTCTATAGTATGCAATAATACATGGTTTATAATATACACACAAGTTTTGAAACTGACTATGAGTCAGTAAAACCTTAAAAAAAATACACACTAAAGGTAATTCCACTGAATATGTACTGACCCATGCTGGCAATGATGCTGTGAACAGGCAATCTGGAAGGCCCATGATAAAATGACCTTGATGCATTGCTTTTTCTCTGCTGGTCTTGGTTCTTAAATGCTGAATTTTCTTCTTTGGTAATATTAATATAAAAACATATGTCTGAAGCATTCATAATATATCGAGGACCTGGGTTCAGCAAAATGTTTTTATTATCCTCCCTCCTAACACCAATCAAGCAGACACCAAACCTTAATTTAAGAGAAGAATATAAAAGTTTAAGAATTACAGTTGTGGAAAAGGTTTAACTCTTTTTTCTTTTAAATGCTTAAATTTATAAGAAAATTAACCAACTATAATCAAACAGAACAAAGTAAGAATATCAAATAATAGAATCGCGAAGCAGGGGAGGATCCCAACATTTACTATTCTCATTTTTTAAAGAAAAAAATCAATTCAATTTGTCATAATCATTATGCTCATTATATGAATGACAAAATATAGAACATAATTCAAAATGTTAGACTGCTGGTCATAAAGTAGAGGAAACATTGTTTTACGTTTTTTTTTTTTTTTTTTTTTAAGAGAACTACTACTGTTGAAACTTTGAACAACATTTCTTATCTTGCTCAAAGTATTAACAGTCTATTAGCGTAAGGGAGACTCTTATAAAATTCCATGTGAAAAGAAAGTGATGTCTCTGAATTATCCTTGCTACCACTTCTCATACATTCAGCTTTGGAAAGAAACATTTAAAATCATCTGCAGTGCTCGTCCATGCTCAGTAGGATAAATTAAAAATGCTGAGAATAATATTTTATTAAAATATTTCTTATTGCTTTTTGGTAATGTTATAACTTTCAAAATTCACTTTAAAACGATGCAGAGTGAGTTGGTAAGCCAATTTAAAATATATTTAGTAGTAAAAATGTATAAATTAGATGACTGAGATTTAAACTTGAATGCATTATGTATTAGTTAATTGGACTATGTTATAAAGTGCCCAAACAGATTACACTTATACAATTTTACATAATTTTGATATACATTTTTATTCCTTAAGAAATTAATTTTGGCCGGTTGTGGTGGCACATGCTGGTAGGATTTGCTGAAGGAGGCAGAGGCAGGAGGATCATGAGAAATTAATTTTGTCAAAAATGGAGAAAAAAAATCCCCCTGACTAAATTGGAATTTATATATTATTTTACTTTTTTTTTAACATTCCTTTTGGATAATGGAAGGGCTATGATCAAATTAATATTTATTTTCTTTTGTATAGTTATGAGTTGTTTCAGAAGCAAAGGTGGAAAATCAATAACCAAGATTAGACTTGTCCACATATTGAGTTTGAGGTCAGCATTAACTCAATGAGACAAATGTGATTTTTTTTCCCTTTTCTTCTTTTGTTGTTATTTTTTCAGTGTTTATGTTATTTTAAATATAAACAAAACTAAACAACACTTTAAATTTTATCTATGTAACAAGATTCATTGTTGAATGGTTGTTAACTCTTAATTGCCTAGGATGTTATGAGTGTCACAGATGTGGTAGAGTAAATATTCCTTAAATTACTTTCCTTCTGGCAAACTTGTAGATACTACAAAGTTTATAGTTAAAATGAAACAAACAAACAAAAAAAGATGCTAAAAAGTCAGAATAGTTGAAACTCATGAGCACCAATTTGGGCTGTTTATGAATGGTCTGACTGACTAGCTGATGTTTAAATTCTCCACTGGAAACAGAAACATACTTTTTGTGTGCATGGAAAGAGGCATAGGTAAAACTCTTCCCTTCATATTCAGCAAAAAATGTACTTTCTTCCAAAACGATGTGATAGACTTCATTTCCCGAGCACCTCCCGTACATCTTCTGCCACTGTTCTGGCGACTGCTGTCCTTCTCTGCAACACAAGCACACACACATACACATAGAGGAGAAGACAGTGAATGCGGGTAAATGATGGCCACTGTCCAATCAGTCCCCACGGCCAAGAACCAGTCAACACAAATTAGAGGAGGTGCTCTCTTGGTGCTTTGAGTTCATCCGGACTTATGTGATACAAAATGATCATAGGGTCAGAAGCTAAAAATGATAACATAATTTGGAAGAGATCAAACTGATTGGGCCCCGCCTGGCCAGCTCCAAAACAGTTTCCTCCAACATGTGTTTCTCATCTTGGTATTTTACAGCCTTTCTTTCCCCTCTCAGAAAGCATCATCATCTCATTAGGAATCCTCTTCCTGACTTCCTTAAAAGCTTGTAAGAAGTAACCGAGAACATTTACTTTTTACCATTTGGAAAGATGTAAACGTTTCTTCAAGAGATTCAAGCAATTTGTTTGAAAGAACATGTGGGAATTTCACCAGACACTGAGATCTATATGCACCATCATAAAACCACGCTGTGGGTAAAGAGGGTTTTAGACTCAGTGTTATGGTGATTAACAAAACGGAGAGGGTGTTGGAGACTACTAAGAATAAGATGACCCAGGAATTCCATATTGAGAGGCCAGGGGCTGAATAAAATGTTAACAAAGATTGGATGAAGTTGTCTGGAAGAAAACCAGGCAAGACAGCAACAGCCACAGGTGCTTCCCCTAAATGTACGAATTGCCCAGTATGGCTGAACGAGAGCAAAGAAGCCAAATAGTCTGCTTTGATGAGAAAGAGAAAAAACTAGGAGACAGCTGGCTAAGGAGGGTGTTCTTGTAGAACTTCTCATTCACCGCATGTGACATTTACTTGGAATGACCAGGTAGTCACTGGGGATTGTAAAACTGTGCAAAGGTATGCATTTACAGTTTACAGAAGTTCCTCTTATCATTGTGCTCAGAATGACTTCAAGAAGAGCAGATAGACAAAGAGAGCTGCTTGCTGGGCCCAGCTAGTAAAGATGGCTACCACCAGGGTTCTTGAGAGAGCAAGGTAAGCTGGAGAGGGTGGAGTTGACTCCATCCTCAGAAAAGGCCACCTTGAGAAATTCCCTGCCTGGCACAAGGTTGATTCAAGCTCCAGCCAAGGAGCCATAAACAGTCCTAAGAAAAACCAACAAATGTTCCTACCACGGTCAAAATAAGTGACTCCACCCATGTGGTCAGACAATGACTAGTTTTGGTAAATCACATCTTCTTGATGCAAGTGTCCTTGTGGGCAACTGTTAGTAACAACTTTGAAATTCCCCTAGACCCCAGTTAATGAATCCAAAGGTCACCTACTCTTAGTCCTGAACAGTCAAGGCACGTATCACCCTGATTGCATTTTTTTTTCCTTTATAAACCCCTTTTGTAATTGAGGCCAGGCACCCCTTTCTCTGTAGCTGGTGCACTAGTTTGCTGGACAGGGTTAGGGATGTTTAATAAGGATCAAGAGAAACAAATAGGCCGAATAGATGTTTATTCGGGGAGAAATAACTTACAGCATAGACACCTGTAGGTTCCTAGTCCCAAGGATGCCTCTGGATGCTCTCCTGTCCCCATGCTGCAAGCAAGAGAGCTTTCCGAGCCCCCTCCTCAGACTTAGTTTCCCCCAGGTAACATCCTGCCCTGTCTCCACCCCCCCAATGGGCATGGTCTATGCCACAGGTGTGGACAAGGTGAATATCTCACTACAATCCTGCAGAAATCTCACTGAGAACAGGAAATAAACCATTCAAATGTTTCCAGAAGTCCCTGAAATTGACAATCACTAGTGCGTTCCTGTCTCCACAAGTATCTGCAAGCAGTAAGGGCAGCTCAGAGACTCTCAAATCAGCCAATCCATGACAAAGAGGACACAGACCAGCACCGGTGCCTGGAAGAACCTCAGGACAAATACAGTACCTATAAATGGCACACTCCAGCCTGTTGAGATTTTGGAAGCCTGTGCTGTGCATTTTACGTTGCCAGCTTTTGTGAGCTATCATCCCTGATTCAGAGACCTCGTTGAAACAGCTGTCTTTGAGTCATTTCTGCTAGTATATGCATCCCCTCATCCACATCCCCAGTAAGTAACTCCAATAAAAGTTTATTTTTAAGCAAATTAAGCACTTTGGTGCTTCTTCCTTTGGTCTATCACCAGTTTCCTATCTGAGGCGAGTGGAGAATACAAACAGTGTTACATTACACTACTTTGCAGATGACTAGACTACATTTACAGTGTGATTCTGTCTGCAGCAGTGGGGGTGGGGAGGAAATCTGCATAAAGTAACAGAAGAAGATCAGAGAGCTCATTACACTACGATGTGGCTTTAACTTTCCATTTCTGCATGACTTCAGCTATTTATATTATTGTACATCAAAACAGAAATCTGAGTTCTAAGACTGGAAAGGTAGCAAAAACAATATAGGAAAATGATCATTGATTTTCTACCACTGGAAAGCTGTTTGGAATTTGATATTCACTGTACAACAGATACAAATGCTTAAATTTGAGGGAATAGAGAAAGGCTATGCAATGTAATTATGACACATTACTAACAGGAAATTTAACAAAAGCCATCGTTAAAGAGATGGGTTAAGTTCAATAAGGAAGAAAAATGGTCAAAAGTTAAATATGGACAGGTTGGCTAATAGTCACTGAAATTGAAGTTGATTTCCCCTACAGTGTTCCAATTTGCGTTTTATGAGATACTCACTTAATAGCTGTTAATTATTGGCTAAAGCAAGAAGGAATAGTGGATTTGTCCAATTGACAATTCGATTATTTCAATGTCTTTTGACTTAGTTATTTTTCTAACAGCCTTACTTTCCCTATGATCCTGTTCTCACTTTCTTCTAACTAGCGCTCCACTATTAACCCCCAATGGTTGTTTAAGTCTAGCTTCCTGTATGAGAATGATTACATGATATTTTCTTAAGAAATTTTCTTCATTGGGAATGATCTGAAACTTGACAGTACTCTTTGTTTTTTTTTTTTTTTTTTAAATTAGGAGAGGATTCTCTACTAATAATTTGCATTTAACCAGACCATTTCAATTTGAATATTTTTACTTTTTCTTCTTGTCTTAAAATTTCTTACTTTTAATATTTTTATCTTAACTTTGTGGAAGATATACTAAAACATATTATCACTTTTGGGTTGATCTTCTGGCCTGGCAAGTCAGTTCCTCATGCATTGAATCTCTGCACTTGTATTTGAAACTGTCAGCTAAGACATTAGCTTTTACAATATTGAATACTTCAGAAAAGATAGAAATAATACTTCTAATTTCAATAAGTCTTCTTCACTTATTCTTTCTCCATATATTTTTTCTTTTTAATCTTTCTGATAACAATACTTATATTCATTTTTAAGCTGTTTTTAATTTCAAGATTTGTTACAACCTCTTTCTGTGTAAAAATTAAAATGAAAGTCCAGATTCTATACATCATGTCAGCAGAAACATTTGTTTAATATCCCCAAAATTAAAAAGATATCAACAAAAATATCCACAGAGTTTGATATATTTGAACAACCATTCACATGACTATATAATTCCTTCATATTTTTCTCTACTAGTACTTCAATGTCTTTATTTTTTAAAATTAATATATTTTAATGTAACTTCCTATTTACATACATTGAAATAGAAGTCACTGTCCCACAGGACTACCTTAAATAGAGTATCATTCAGCAAATAAGAAGTTATATTTTAAAACTCTGAGCATTGGGAATTAAGATAATAAAGAGACCCATTTATCGATGTAGAGGACCTTGAAAATGGCAGATCTCGGTGCACACTGAATGAAAAGGGAGAAGTCTATTTAGTCTAAAGACTCCCAAGTGTCTCACTAGTCAGGACAGAGCCATAATCCCAATTGCTTGGTGGATAATATCCTTCACACAGTTTTTGAAAAGCGTTTTAGGGGGACTGGAATGTTTCAGTGGGCAAATTACATGCTGAAAGAACACAAGCACTTCTTTGGAATGCCCAGGACACACTGGAAACCCGATGCTACAGGAGACAGGTAGATTCCAGGGTTTAACTGAACTGCTAGTTTAGGCTAGGGAGTTTTAGAGTCAGTGAAAGACCTTAGATCAAACACACACACGTGCTAATGTTCACAGCACATACATAAATCTATGAAAATTTGGGAGAGTACAGAATCATTGTCCAGAACCACTTTCCACCCCATTACATGGGATCCTGACCATACTCAATCAACATTCTTTCTCTAGTGTGACGCATGGGGAATACTTTACAAACATGTTCTTGTTTTCGGACCCATTACTTGCTCCTTGTTATACATGTTTAAGTAATTATAATGCTTTTCCCTTAGTCTCTCTTTACAGATTCACAAAGTTGATAAAAGTCCAGAGTGTGTATGATTAATATATATATATATATGTATATATATATATATATATATATATTATTCTTGAATATTTGGATCCTTGCAAAAAAGTAATTCATATGGAAAGATCTTTACATGATTAACTAAATCTATCAAAAAGTTTTTTTTTTTTGCTATTTCAAGTGCAAAAACTATAACTATTTTGTAGATGAGTATGTTTAATTAGGGAATGAAAATTCATTAATTTTTTTCCCATGTCAAACAAAGCTTGAATTAAATGACACAACGTACAAAATAAAATGTTGTAGAGGAGCAGAGGAAGACATCTGACATTGACCTCTGCCTTCCCCGACCCCCACACACAGGGAGAAATATAGATGATAGAAAGATCAAGCAATAGATAGATCAATAGATGATAGAGGATAGATAGATCAGTCTATTACACACATCTGCACACCAAAAAGGAAAAAGAAAGAAAAATACACACACAAAAAAAGATTATTAAGAAAAAATTTACCATCTTATTCTTTTTAGTGATACATTTCCAACTAAAATAATTTCAGAGCAATGTCTGGGGAGCAAAACAATGATGAGGCAGACCTCCCCTTCGTTCTCCCTAGACAGCCATTTTTCTTTTTTTTCCCTAGGAA